ATTTGATCCTCACAATAACCCTGGGAAGTAGATACTGGTTTTACCCTCATTTTACAGATGATGAAACTGAGGCAGAGAGACTTGGTGATTTGCCCAAGCTAAAAAGTATCTGAGATAGGATTTGAATCCAGGTCTTCCTGATTCCAAGTTCCACACTGTACCGCCTTGCTGCTTGTTGCTAAATAAACTATGTCGTATTGAGAGGCATGGTTTCCAGGACTAAGGTGGCAGTATTCCTATTCTTCTCTGTTCTGGTAGACCATATCTAGGGGGCTGTGTTCTGTTCTGGGCAACATATTTTAGGAAGGACGTTGATAAGCAGGAGGGCAGGCAAAGAAAGGCAACCATAAAGTTGAAGGGCCTTAACATCATGTCATATGAGTCCTAGAAGAAATGGGAATGTTTAGCCTCAAGAGGAAAAGTAATTTCCTAGCATTTCAAGGACTCCTATGTGGAAGAGGCATTTGTTTGTTTCTGGAGGGCAGAACTAGGGGGAAGGGGTTGTCTTGAGAAATACTAATTCCTCCTCACTGGAGGTCTCCAAGCAAAGGCTAGACAATTCCATGCTTTATAGTAGCAGATTCATTGATAAGATGGCCATGGAGAGGCCGACCAACTCTTTGATACCATGAGGTGAGATGAGTCAGAAAATGAAACATCTTCACAAATGTACCTGGACCTTTTAATCAGGAGGGAATATCTGAAATGAGAGCTATATAATATAATTCACATATATGTAGTATTAACTGTTATCACAGTAAGTTTTTTAAATATCCTACTTTTAAAAAGTTACATTGTATTTTTTCAATGACCAATTCTCTCTCTCACCTTCCTTATTCCCTGCTGGGGAAAAGAAAAAAAATAAGGAAAGGAAGGAAGAAAGGAAGGAAAGAATGATGGAATGAAGGAAAGGAAGGAAGGAAAGAAGGAAAGAAAGAAAGAAAGAAAGAAAGAAAGAAAGAAAGAAAGAAAGAAAGAAAGAGAGGAAGAGAAAAATGCCCTAGTAACAAATTTGCATAGTGAAGCAAAACAAACCCACAGATTAAGATGTTCTCCTCCACATCCCCTCTCTCTTTTGGTCTTTGGAACTTAAAATGAAAATAATGACCTTTTATGTGGTTACTGCTAAATGCTGAAAATTTGGATTTCCAATTAATTGTGAGTTAGAGCTTCATTATCCTTTTGCGTAACTTCAAACAATTTGGACATTTCTCAAGTGTATTCAGAAGCTCTTAAGTGAACTTTGTAGGCTAATAGGAGAGGAATTCTTGTAATCATATCTTTTTTTTTTTTTTGGAACAAAAAGTTTATATTAGAAAAAATTACTTAAGGCTTCTATTCCTGGACCTTTAGGCCTATTCATTGTTGTGGGATTTGAATTTAATTAGGTTTCTGTGAGACAGAAAACATTTAGTATTGGGTCATTTCTGTGGCTGTACTTTGGGAAAAATATTAAGGAGGCCCATTTTGATTAGTAGCTGTTCAAGCATTTCTCTTTTCTTTCGTTCTCTAGATTTTATATGGTTATCTTTTTTCTCTTTATCGCCATTTAACATTATACATATCAACTTATTTGTTGGTAAGAAGGCAATAACTTGCTGATTCATAGACTCATAAGATCAAAAAGTTGGATCAGGTCTTAGAAGTGGTCTTGGAGAACACGCCCTTCAATACAGGCCCCAAGGACATAACCTTGTTCAAATAAACAAAAGAGGTGGTCAGGATGGCAAGCATACTGCCAATGGGATTGGACATCATTCAGATTTCAATACCTAGCACCTATGTGAACCATGAGTTCTTTCTATTAGACATGCCTTGCCCCCAATAGTCATACAAGTGCCTCTTGAAGATTTAAGAAATAGTGATTACTTAAAGCCCAGGGGCCAAGCCGAGTGAGGCAAATTCTTTGTTCATATGACAACCTTTCAGATATTTTAGGAATAAAATATTTGATTCATTGGCTAGCAAAGTATGTCATAATTTACATGAACAAATGAATGAACGAGAAGACTTATTAAGGACCTTGTATATGCTTGCTCTGTCCTCAATGCTAGGAAAAGCAAAGCCAGCCCTAGCCCTCAAGGAGCTTACTTTCTAATGAAGACAATGGGGAGGAGTGGCTAGGGAAGAAAGCTTTGCTCTAGAAAGCTACAGTGGTGGTAACTGGAGCCACAGGAGAGTCTCTGACACACTCCATCCAGGAGCTGCAACAGAGTTGATTTGATCATGGTTCATGATTTCAGAACTGGGTGGGATGGGGAGGAAGGGGTAAATGAGACGCAGCAAGTCAGTTGGTGAAGTTATGGAAGAGAGAGCCAGAGAGCTGGGAGTGAAATGAATCATAACTGGGGCTTTCCTAAAATTGTAGTCCTATCTCTGCAAATCAGAATGAGAGATGTGTTTGAACTTCCATCTGCTTCCCAGAGCAGTCAGATGTCCGAGGTTAGCAGCTTGGAGGCCACCAAGCACAAGGGACAGACGCAGGAGAGTGCTGGAACCAGATCATACAAGCGGATGAGAGCTGACTGTTCAATTTTCAGTGTGAGCATTTATACCTTGCTACAAATTAGGGCTTGGTTTGTTGTTTAGTTGATTCTCTAGACTTCACAAAGAGATGGAGAGAATGTTAAGAATGCAGATTAAAAGTTAAACACGTGTCATACTCTTTTTTTTGAGAGTCAGTTGTTAAACTTTCACTAACATACTGCTCTTTGACACCACTAAGTACAGCAAAGAAATCTTCTGCTAGGAAGAAGCTTGCAACAGTGGTTTCCTAGCTGTTCCTTTCACAAGACACTCCATCTCATGACTCATTTTCACTAGCTGTCTCTCGTGCCTGGAATTCTTTCTCTCCTCAAATCTGCCTCTTGGGTTCCCTGAAGTCTCAATTAAAATCCAACCTTTTACAAGAAGGCTTTTCCAAATCTCCTTAATGCTATTGCTTTGCCTTTGTTGATTATCTCCAATTTATCCTGTCTACATCTTGTTTATATGGAGTTGTTTCTAGGTTGTCTTTCCGATTAGACTGTGAGTTAGTTGAGGGCAGTGACTGTCTTGTGTCTTTTTGTTTGTTTGTCTGTTTGTTTCTTTAGCCCCTATCACCTAGCAGGTGCTTAATAAATGTTTATTGTCTGACTGACTCAAGATCAAGGCCCATCAGGAATAAATGTAAAAAGCTACCATAGAGAATGGAGACTGGGAGAGACAAACCAAGATGGGAGCTTAGCCCAGAAGGTGAACAGCGATCAGTCAGAAACTTTCTGAGGGCAGAGCCCTGAGAACGCCATAATGCCTTAATCCTGAACTGAGTAACATGAAAGAGTCTCTGTAAGTTACCTCTGTTCACTATAATTTGTATACTCAGTTCTCCTCATAATGTAGTAAAGTTGGGTGCTATGCTAAACTACAGTGGAGAAGATGGGGAAAGGTCTCCTTCCAGAGAATGAAAAGTGGTAAAAAGTCTTGAATGCTGGAGAAGAAATTCCTCTCCCTAGAATCCTCAGGTGATGGCTTCAGTAGAGGTTAACCAGTGTAAATGGAGCACCTGCTCTAGGCTCACTCCTCCAAACGGACACTTGAACTCCCAGGTTGGGTCCCCAGAATATGGTTGACTACTATCACCTCCACATGGATTTGAAAAGAGCTCCCAGAGCTGGATCAAAGAAACAGAACTTAAGAATCTATTCTTTCATCTACTATTGGACAGAATGGGTTGGAGGAAAAGCTGTACTGCTGGGCAGAGAGATTTGGAGAGAAAAGATTTTACTTTTACCTTTCTTTGCATTGCTACCTACTGCCTGAGAAGTGGAAACTCTTCAAAGCTCAGCCTGGCTGTGGGAAAGTTTTGCAGATCCCTGGTTGAGAGTTCCGTTTTGCTGAATGAACTTAATGCTACCTCAGGAGTACAGAAAAACAGTGACAGGTAGCAATCAGCTGAGGAGCTGCCCTTCCCAGTAGGAGAACAGAGCTTGGGAAGAGGAGTAACCCCACCTATGCGCAACTGTTGTGTAGACTGTTCCTGAATGGGACAATAGACATCAAGACTCATAGTCTAGACTTGTGAGTTGCATTGCAAATATATATTCACTACTCATGTACCTCCATGTTATGGTTTTGTAATTTTATGCCCATTTTTCTTCATGGTCACTGTGAGTATTGGTGAGCAAGTATGTCCTAAGTTTATTTCTTTTTTTTTTTTTTTTGAGGCAATGGGGGTTAAGTGACTTGCCCAGGTCACACAGCTAGTAAGTGTCAAGTGTCTGAGGCCTGATTTGAACTCAGGTCCTCCTGACTCCAGGGCCGGTGCTCTATCTGCTGTACCACCTAGCTGCCCCCTCCCAGGTTTATTTCTGCAATCTTACGTTTTAATTATTCTTGTACTGCCCTCTGTTCAGTAAATGGTTCTTATTAAGAGTTAATGGTGTCAACTTGACTGATTTGTTAAATGAGAAACACACTAATGGGAGCTCAGGAGTTACATTGGTGAAGAGTAGAAGTATACTCCTTAACCCTCTTCCCCATCAAGGTTATCTAGTGTGAAATCAGGAAAGACTCAAGTTCAAGTCCTACTTCTGTCACTAACTCTGTGACCATGGATAAGTCATTTAGCCTCTCTGAGCCTCAGTTTTCTCATTCGTAAAATGGGGATAATAATGCCTATAGTACCCACCTCACAGAATTGTTGTTAGAATCATGTGAAAAAATTGTATTTAAAGGTTTATGACTCTTAAAAATGTCAGCTGTTATTATTGTTAAATGGTAATTTAAAAAATTGTTTATAAAAAACTGAATAATAATTTGACTTTGTATTTATTCAAAACTCTTTAGAATCTAGAAATAATCTTAAATAAGTTTATTTTAGACATTTTAACATATGATAAATCATATTATATACTTTTAAGTCAATTTATGACATGGTTTGAGCTTAAGGAATTTTTTTAGCCCATTTCTAGAAGAGGATTGGGAATTTAATGTTTAATTTCTCCTCCCTTGTCCTATAGATGCAGCAGTTGGAGAGACAAGTTATTGATTCAGACCGTCAAGCAGAGAGAGCTTTTCAACAGGTACAGTTTAAACATTTAAAAAAAACTTTAATTGCTCCTATTATTAATAATTAAAATGCAAAAAAATCATTTGCTCCAAATCATGAAGCTGATTCTCATCCCTCTTTTATATCCTGTGCATCCCTACTGTTTGTGAAAATTTGATTCTATATTATAACAACATAAATTTAGTAAGGGTGAAGGGATTAAAAATTTTTTTTTATTCTGAACTTAAACACCAAATTAAATGAGTGTTTGTATATACATAGTAGAACAGAAAAAAAACCTTTTTTTTTGGTTTTTTTTTTTTGGTTTTTTGGTGAGGCAATCAGGGTTGAGTGATTTGCCCAGGGTCACACAGCTGGTAAGTTTCAAGTGTCTAATGCCAGATTTGAACTCGGGTCCCAAGTGCCAAACCCTATCTACTACTCCACCTAGCTGCCCCTAGAAAAAGAGGATTCTGTAGGAAACTGGAAGTCTCTGTTATGTACAGCTTGCTTTTCTTTTTAGGTATGTAATAATTTCAGCTTTTAGCTTTTAAAGTTGTCCTGCTTACTTGTGCTTCTTTCTGGCCTGTTTTCTTCTCTGCATTAAAAAAAAAAATACCTTCCTCCCTTCCTTTTTCTCCTCTCCTCTCCCCTCCTCTCTTCCCTCTCTCTCTCTCTCCCTCCCTCCCTCCCTCCTTCCCTCCCTCCTTCCCTCCCTCCCTGTCCCCACCCCATCACGATTCCACCCCACTCCTTTATTGGAAAAAAAGAAAAGGAAAACAAACCAACAAACAACAAACCCCCGTGACAAGGGTTTGCTTAGTCGAGCAAAACGAATGTGTTTGTTGGTTGTATCTGAAGCACATGGCTTATTCTGCATCTTGAGTCCATCACTTCCATCAAGAAGTGGGTCGCATACTTCATCATCAGTCTTTTGGAACCATGGTTTGTCACTGCATTATTTGTAATTCCTACGCCTTTCAAAGTTATTTTTCTTTGTAATGTTGTTGTCCTTGTATAAATTATTCTGGTGCTGCTCACTTTACTCTCCATCAGTTCATACAAGTCTTCCCAGGTTTTTTTAAAACAATCCATTTTATCATTTGTTACAGCATAATATCATAATTTGTTTAGCCAATCTCTCCCTAATAGATAGGCATTCCCTTAGTTTTCAATTCTTTATACAAAAAGAACCACAATACACATTTTTGTATATATGGATTGTTTTGAGAAGAGATTAAAAAAAAGAACAACCACCAATAAACAGGAACTTTACTTCTTTGGTAGCTTGTCCCAGAAAGATAAAATGTGAACTTAACTAAATGGGGCATAGTAACCAGATGGATCTTAAATTTTATCTTACACATATTTTTATTTGTAAGACATTAAAGTAGAAGTGAGGAACTTAAGCATGCAGCCTGGATCTGGTCATATAGCTTAATTTCATGGAACCCATAGAATGTGTACCTTAGAAGATATGATATTCCCATTTATGCCTATGGTTGTGAAAAATATAACGTGACTTTAATAGTCATAGCATCATAGGCTTTAAAGCCAGAAGGGACCTTCACGATCAAACTCTACATATTACAGCTAGAGAAACTGAAGCCAGAGCAATGATACAACTTGCTCAAAGTCACACACCTTACTAACTTCCGACTGTGGAGTAGAGACTCACAGAGCTTAAAACTCCATTGCGTTCTTCTCCTATTGCTATCTTTAGTGGCAATATCTTTACAACATGAGACTGTTACTCCATGAAACTTTCTGTATTCATGATTCGGTACATGTATCTCTCCAATTCTCTCTAGGTCTCCCTGTATGTGTGTATATCCCTTCCTATTACTGTTTCTATCTCTGTGTTTCTTTGTGTCTTCTTTGTATTTTTTTCGTGTGTAGAGAATCTGTCTTGAGAGCATCCAACCTTTACTAGGATCCTTTATATTAAGTCAGTAAACAATAAATAATTTGATTTGATTTGTGCCTACCTCCGAGTGTCTCTCTATTTTTCTTTTCTAGGGTTATAACTAGTGATTTTGATGCCCTGAGCAAATACAACCAAACATCCCTCAAATCAACTGTGTGTTACGTGAAAATAATACAAGGAGTAAAAGAGGCAGGTTCAATTGAGTAATAGGGGAAATCCTTTGATATCAGTTCCCTGTGGGGGATGAGATCACACACACCAGGACTTTGGTGGGAGAGAGTCTAGGACCATGGGTGGGGAACCTGTGACTTCGAGGCCACATATGGACTTCTAGGTCCTCGGTGTAGCCTTCTGACTGAGTCCAAGTTTTACAGAACAAATCCTTTTATTAAGGGAATTTGTTCTGTGAAGTTTGGATTCATTCAAAGGGCCACACTTAGGACCTAGAGGTCACATGTGGCCTCGAGGATACAGGTTCCCCACCCCTGAACTCTAGGACAATGCTCCATGGTGGGGAAATAGAAACCCAAGAGATTTTGGTGAGATTTCACCTTAGGAGTTGGAGCACTCAGGTAGCACCTACCTCATGCTGCTGTAGGATGAAGCCTACCATCTGGTAACTTAATGGTTTAATTATTCTTACTAAGTAGGTGCTACACTTGTTCCCACACTGATGAAAGAGTGAAAGTCAAGATGTAAATGGAACAAAAAATTTAAATGGCACAGTCTCTTAAAATGATAATTTTATTTTTGTGTGTCTTAAAATTACAGAGAACACAATTGGCCCCACAGCACAGATATAAAAAGATACCTCCCTCACTCCTCTACAAAGGCACCCAGCGGTGTGGGGGTGGAACATTATATATAATGTCAGATATTTTTAATGTATTGACCAGTTCTGATGAGTTTTTTTCTTTTCTTGTCTTTTTTTAAAGTGTTTATAAATTATGGAACCTTGGGAGGCAGGGGAGAAAGAGAGAAAGCTATCAATAAAAATCTATTAAACATTTTTGTGCCTTATAAATTTTAGTGTCCCAGGGAAAAACCCCAGTTGTCCCACCCTAACTATGATTCTATTTCTGCTTCCTGTTTTTTTTCTGATTGTCTCTCTCTCTCTCTTCCCCATTCCTTCCTTGCTTCTTAATTCTTTTCTTGTTTCCCTCTTTCACTTTACTGCCCATACTAAAAATCCAAAAACTTTTTTAAAAAATCATGTTAATTTAAGAATTTTTTATTCTATGTTTTTAATTTAAAATTAAAAATTTTGAATTCTTTTTCTAAAACAAAAGAAGATTAAATTAAGTGACTTTTTTGCTTACCCACCCCACTTTTTTTTTCCTGTTCTTCAGTGGATTTTACTAAAAGGCATTCCTAACTTGACACTAAGGGAAGCCAACTTCAATAATTAAAACCTGTCTGCCACTTCTTCCCTTGAAAAGTTCATTCAATGAGAACTTCTTAGCTTAAGCTAAGCTTTTATGTGTCAAACGTAAAGTTTTTCTCTGCAATCCAGCCTCAAATTCCTTGTGCTTCATTTCTGAGCAACAAGTCCCTATGACTGGTGGTTTCAGATACACAGCCCTAATGAAAACTTTTTTTTTTTTAAAAGTCTGTCAGGGATTGAAAAACTTCTTTGTTGTAACTAATCAAAATCCACAGTTCTCTTCGAATAACATTTAAATAAGCAAGGTTCTTATCCTGTTATGTTCTAGCAGGGATTCTTTTCCTTTATTGCCCTAAATGGAATTTTAAAGCTAACAGGAAATAATGAACAAAGAATGAATGAGTTCTCAAGTATGAGCTGTTTCAGGTTCTTGGCCTTTGCAGGACTGAATAAATGTTAATGATTTATAGTGACTGAACATTTTGCTGTATCTTTAACAGTGCCCATGGGACTATGGCCTATCTGTTACTCAAATTCATCTTGTCCTTTCTCAGTGAACCACATCTGAAATTTGAACAACTTTATTTATATGAACAATGGAGGAATGTTTCGAGGCTTAAAACAGGGGACAGCTAAAACTGGTTCGGCTCCATTCTGGCCTTTTATGTTTTCCCCATGTTATTAACAAGCACATTCTCTCCAAGTGCTCTGTGAGGGTTTTATAAGTGTAGAAGATCATATGTTTTACCAGTGAAATTTTAATGATTCAAGTTCAATAAACATTTATTAAGTTCTGTGCACAAATCTCTGCCCTGGAGCCAAGGGAACTCCAGAAATGTATAAGAAATGTCTCTCCACTAAAGGAAGTTGCAATTAAGATAGCAGCACAAGTAATAATATACATTTACGTAGCATTTTAAAGTTTGCAAAGTAGTCAGTCAGTAAGTATTTATTAAGCTTCTACTGTGTGCAAGATAGTGATACAAAGAAAGGCAAAAACTAATGCTTGCTCTCAAGGAGCTTAACTTCCAACAGACATACAAACCAGATGTACAAGCAGGAGACCATGAGAGTGCCAAGGAACCCCCTACCCCCACCCCGGAGGGATCAGGGAAGGCATCATGGAGGAGGTGACCTTTGTACTAAGTCTTCAGGGATTGGAGGGATTTCAGCAGATGCCAAACACTCCGGGTGTAGAGAATGATGTGAGCAAAGTGAAGGATGTGTTCAGTTAACAGTGAGAAGGTCAGTCATTAACAACATGGACTACCGTTCGCCATTGTTAACAGGAGGAACACAGAGGATGGAATGAGAAACTTGTATGAGAGTGGCCCAAACTGAGGGAGCACCATAAGCTTCCTAGGGATAGAGCACATACCCTTTGGTTGATCTGATACCAGACAGGATTAATCCTAGGCAAACTGCCAAGTGGATGTTTTTTTCATTATCGTTATTTCAAGGCTACTCCCATCCCAGGTACACCTTGGGTGTCCTTATTGCTTTGGGCCTCCTCCTTCCTGTCAGCCACCTGGAGCTTGTCTTGGGCTACTTCTCCCCTCTCCTTTTTCTTTTTCCCATTGAATTTTTCTTTTCCCTTTTATCTCAGTTTCACCTTTCCGTTCCTGTAGTCATTCATGATACGTAATAAGAGTTTAAGAGCCCTATGACCCAGAATACCATATTACTTTAGCATATTCTGCTATCTCCCATTTTATGGAAACCTGTTTTATATAATGCTTGATTCCCTTATCCCCTGTCTGAGAAGTATCCTGGCCTCCTTACATAAATTCTAGAGTAATTTGCCAAAAAAAAAATAGTGATCAAAATGTGATTGGAATGGGTAATGAGCTTTCAGTGAATCTTAAGTAAATAGAAAATAATCTAAAGTTGAAAACTCTATTAAATGCAGTTTACATGTTGGGATAATCATAAGTCTTTATATTCATATTTTTGCAATTTGTACATAGGGAGTGCCTTATCACCATTTGCTCAGAAAATATAGTGAATTTTTGATTATGCATGTTAATTCATAAGGATAGTAGGGCTATGGGTGATTAAAAAGTGAACAATCCATTGTTTCCTTCATTAGAACCGTCTGCAGAGAGAAAATGGATCTAGGATCACAGTGGGCCTTGAAGCCTGCTTTAGAAAACTGAAGGAACACCATAGGTTGAGGGGTTGGCAACAAGGCCTATGTTGAAAGCTCAGTGCCTGGCATGATAGGCATTTAAATAGCTTGTTAATAAATTGATTGAAAGGATAGATGCAACAGTTACGTCAGTAAAAAGAGTAAAAAAGAAGCCAACAGGAGGCAAAGGGGCTTATACTCCCTCTCCTGTGGCTATTTCATGTGTGGGTGATTGGGAATTGATTTAACATCCAATTTGGTTTTGTCTGTGATTTTACTTTATATAAGCTCTGAATTGTTAAGATAACCATGCAATTCAAGCCATCCAAAAAAATAAATTGAACTGATTTTTCCTTGCTCGATGTAATTCTGATAGCATATCCAAAAATGCCACCCAATTTCTCAGAGTGCCCTGACATGCAGGCTTCTTGGAACAAGGAATGGCATGGAACTCTGTGAGAGGCAGGTCGGGTGATCTGCCTGTTCTTCATGAGAGTGTGAGAACCATTCTTGTCAGAGGATTTTCTTTGCTCCTGGCAATGGTGTGAAAGATTGTTTATGTCTGTGAAGGCTTTGGTCTGGCTTGAAAAATATGCTCAAAGAAGATTTCATTTGTAGCCTTATCTGGAACAAAAGCCTCATACTTAAGAACCAGCTTGTCAAGAGTTGATCAGTATAGGAATTCCCAACTTTTTCTCGTCCCTACTATTTAAAAAAATACCCTCTGAATGGCTATTTATGCCTCTGGAGTCGTTATTCCTAAAGACGTCTCACGGTGTCACAGACTGGGTAATTTTAGGTGGCAAACAGATTTCTCTGGAAGACAACCAGTCTTATTAGGTTTGACTGTTCATTTTGCAGCCATTTACTTCAGGTTTTTCTGCTGCTATTTATCTTCAAGGCTTTGAGTGAGTTCCTCTTGCTTATCTTCATAGCTGGAGAATGCCCTGGATGCAATTGGCTACGTCATCTAAGATATTACTTGGATTTTGATGGGCTGAGAGAGTACATCTCCCATTGTCATGTCATGTCAGAAAGCTAACTAGAAGTGATGACTTTAGTGTTGCTGAACTCACAACATGGGCATTGTAACATAGTGTAGTGAGCTTTGAATTTGGACTTAAAGGACCGATTCAGATCATAGTTCTTCCATTTACTTTTGTGACATTTGGCAAATCACTTATCTCTCTACACTTGGGCTTTCTTATCTGGACAGTGAAGGAGTTGGACAAAATGATATTCAAGATGTCTTTGTAGTCTCAAACTCAGGATAAACTGTTGAAATCTTAAGGGTATCACTATTGGAATGTTTTTCTCTCAGTTTTCTTTTCCTTCATTCTTTTATTATGAAAGTTATACAGCCTTATGGGTAGGCATTCGAATAGGACTTTTTTCCTTGGCTTCTGAGATGAATTCACATTTGTAAAGAGCTCATGGATGAAAGGTGGCATTCATGCTGTAAAGCTAAAATAACCCAAGTTCCCTGTCTCGTATAAGCCCCAGCAAGCCAATTGCCAAACATTTTTTGAGCCTTGAGTAGGGATTCATTCATTTTATTTTCCAGAGGTAGTTTTTTATTGCTTTATTTGAGATTCTTTGCTTTTACTCCCTACCATGCTTCTCCTTCCCCCAGGGTATTTTATATTTTCTCCCCTTTCTACATTTCAGTCCCCTAAATTTCAAAAATCATATTCCTGCATCACTCTGTGGATAAACATCTAAGAGGAACTCTTTCCTCTGTGTTTTAGTTTTCTCTCTTATATCTGTCAGTTTCTTACCCATCTTCTTTTGAGATCATTTATGGCATTTAGAAGCTTTTTCCATATCCCCTTCCCACTTCCCAAGGCTTTCATTTTTCCCATTATTTAGTGTTGGGGGAAAATGAAGTTTATTATCTTAGAAATGCTGGGAAGGATGTGAGAAACAAAAGGATAGAAATAGCAACATTTTAATTTTAAAATTACTTGTAGAATGATTTCCCCTAAATATAGTAAATGCTTAATAAGTGCTTATGGAATTCAATTAATGTCTTGGCTGTACAAATCTGGATGCATTAGGTTCTAAGCCCTTCAGGTAGCTCCCAAAGACTCGAAGTCATTGGTAGAGGAGGTTCTCGCTGAGAATCATCTACTCCCATGAAAATCACAGCTTAGGAGAAGGAGGGAGGGCGTACACACACGATCAGACAATGTGGGCAGGCACAAGTCACAAGTAAATAGATATGTGGCCTTCCCGGCTATTTAATGTAACCAGATAGGACACTGGGGGGAAATCCAGATGGAATCCACACTCTTTATTGATACTTTCACTAAGACTAAAACTATACTTTGATGTTGGCATTCATCTCCTTCCTTTCTACCTTATGTCTCTTTCATGTTTGGCTTTTTAGCTTCTTTCCTTTTATTTCCTCTATTTTGTTTATATAATCTACTTCCTGTTAAACAGATCTACTCACTTATTTTGTTGATTCACCCAGTCTCAAACTTGTCTTTCCCCTGAACTATTTTTTTTTCATGTTTTTCTATTTTCTATTTTTATCCTTTAAAATGATGAATAAATTAGGACAACACTCAGGAAGAATCATTTTTGTCTTTCCAAAATGTTAAAGGGGAAACGTTATGTGTATTTTCAGTGCCACAGTAATCGTGCAAATTCTGTAAGACAGAAGTCTACTAGGAATATTTAAGAGAGCAAGATATATTCTTATGTATTGCAAAAATAATCTCATTTTGTAAAGATTTAGTACTAAGGTTAAGGATGTAGAAGCTCACCAAGTTTTTTTTTTTGCTTTATGACTCTCCCCTTATATATGACTGGAAAAAAACATGGGCTAGTCAAAAAGAGGCAAAGAGATCCTGAGTGCTTTACTGGTTTGTGTACTTTAAAATACAAAAAAAGGAAGGTCTTCCAATGCATTAAATGCATCTTCTGTAGAGGATTTATGAAAGGATATGGATAAGAATCATAGATGAGAAAGTATGGAACGATTGAGATCTGTACTCACATGGAGGTCATGTATCTTTGAAGTACTTTTTGGGAACCATTAATCAATTAGGCGGTGCAGTGGATAGAGTGTGGGACTTGGAATCAGGAAGACCCGAGTTCAGATCCTACCACAGACGTTTATTTAGTCATGTGATCTTGGGCAAGTCACTTACCCTCCACGTGCCTCAGTTTCTTTCATCTGTAAAATAGGGATGATAATAATAATAATAATAAAACAATAATACCTGTCTCATAGGGATCTTTTGGGGATCCAATGAGTTATCATAGGTAAAGTCCTTTTCAAACTTCAAAGTGCTATAGGAATGCTAGCCTTTGTTTACTATTATTGTTGTTATCATTAACCATTTCCATGTAAGAGTAAGATTAGAAGTGTAATACAATAATAACCTTTGTTGTAAGGATATATATGGATATATATGGATGGTCCAAGTAAAATCTTTCATGTTTCACCTTAATTAGGTACAGGCTATGGAGGAGAAATTAAAAGCAGCTAATATTCAAACGAGTGAAGCTGAGACCAGATTATATAAAAAGTGTCAAGATCTGGAGACTCTACTCCAGGAAAAGGATGACGTCATACAGAACTTGGAACTCCAACTTGAAGAACAGGTTAGCAATCAGAATTCTATCAGCCAAGTGCCCAGTATGGATGAATGAATTTCTTTATTCGCCGTCCCCAAGAACAGGAAAGAAGAAACCTATATTCCTTTTTATATGCTGGTGAGAAAACTGAGGTTGAAAATGATGGGTTTGATTTCAGTCGGTGAAAGAACATTATATGTATTAGTAAATATTGTTAAAAATAAACTTTTAAGAAAAATGGGATTTTCTTGTCCTTAAGTGTGGGGCAGCCCTAAGGTAATACCAAACACACATTGAATGCAGAGAAACTTCATAAGTTTTGGGGTTTCTGATTGTGGGTTTTTTTCTTTCTAAAAGAAGAAAATTTTTTTTTCCTGTGAGGCAGTTGGGGTTAAGTGACTTGCCCAGGGTCACACGGCTAGTAAGTGTCGAGTGTCTGAGGTGGGATTTGAAATTAGGTCTTCTAGACTCTAGGGCCGGTGCTCTATCCACTGTGCCACCTAGCTGCCCCTAAAAGAAGAAAATTTTTAAAAGAAGAAGACATTTATTATTATAGACCTTTTCTGTAGAAATAGTTGGTTTTTTTTTAAACAAAACTTTGTTTAGGATTTTCACTTCTAATTTATAGTATGAAATGTACTGCTTCATGGAAACATTGTATAAAGAGTGAGAGGTTTATAGTCAGAGAACCCCTGTGTGAATCTCTTGGGTAAGTCCCTTCACCTTCTCTGGGCCACAGATTCCCCATCAGAAAAATGGGGGGGACAGTATTAAATAACCTCTTCTCCCTTCCAGCCTTATTGCTCCATAGCTACGACCTTATGGCCCCATCTCTCTGAGATCCCTTCCATCTCTAAATCTGTGATCCATTAAGAAATTGGAAAGGTTCTAGAATATGTTCTTCATTACGTATGTTTGTAGCGAACATCTGTTATTCCTATATTGGTTTTATTTGCCAGTGTTTGCATTTAAAGAAAATCATATTAAAGATTCATATCATTTTAATGATAATTTTTTCAGTGTACTCACTTTAAAATTCTACTACTTGTAAGAATAAAGTTGATCCTTTTCTGTATTACTTTTTTAAATATCTCTCAAAACTAGTCTTTCTTTAAGAAACTTCCAAAATGGTGTACTTTTCTTTTAGATTTGGTGTTTTCACTTCTGAATTTTGCAGTGAGAGTAGTTCTTATTGTATCTAGAAATAGCTGTGTATGTTTTTATTTCTGACTTGTTTCTTGACTACCTCTTCTCACTTTTTTGCCTTTCCTGGCAATATGGAGGCAGTGAAAGGATTAGTTTGAAAATAGACTTGACATTCAGTTTTTTGTTTTGTTTTGTTTCTAGCCTTTGTGGTGCTATAGACCCCCATTTTTCTTTTACCAGAAAACCCCAGGCCTTGGCTTACTTTACTTCCTGTCCCCCTTATATGGGTTTCCTAAGCTTCCTAGCTTTGCCTGTAGGAGAAGACCCAAGAATTTTCTTCTCCTGACCTGTGCCCTGAAAACAGCATACAATCCTTACTTGTGTTGTAAGAGTTTTACTACTAAGCACTTCAGGGAAACATGCTGAGGATTAAAATAATAAACAAAGAAGAAAGCTTATAGAAGAAGCCTGAAAGCCCATCCTACTCCTTTGTTCAAAAATGTAGGCTCTAGACCTTAGTATTTCTTAGTTCCCCCCCCAGCTCTTGAATCACACACATACACACACACACACACACACACACACACACACGCACGCATGCACACATGTATGTATCTAGAGAAGGGGAGAAGGAGAGACAGAGCAGGGGAGAGGGGGGCACTGTGTGCATACATATGTGTCCCTATGCTTTAGCCCTGTCTCAATGCGGTGAGATGCTGAATCATTCTCTGGATGTCTAACCTGTGGTTTTTAGTTCACTGCTAGATATTTCAGGCCTTCTAGAACCTGCTTTCCCAGTTAAAGTCCTAGATTCGAGGCAGATGCTTTTTCTCTGGCTGTCCACCTTCCCTAATGTTCTGAGGGAACTCATTTCATCTTTCAGGACCGCTCTAATTGTTCAAAAAAGTTTTTTTCCTCCTAAATTAAAAATAAATCTGCCTCACTGCAACTTCTACTCATTGCTCCTACTTCTACTCTCTGGGTTAATCCCTCTTTTACATGACCAGACTACAAACTATTTTAATGCCGCTATCATGCACCCCCTGAGGCTGTTCCAGACTGAAGCTTCTTTAGCTGATGGCATGTTCTCTAGTCCCCTCAGAATACCAATTAATGTGCTCTGGATATTCCTTTTTAGTAACGTCCTTCCTAAAATATGACACCTAGAACCCCTACACATTTGCCTGCCTTTGGCGTGTTACCAATTCAGCAGGTAGCAATTACATTAATCACAACCATAGATCTAGAGATGAAAAGGACCTCAGAGGCCATCTAATCAAATTTTCTCATTTTATAGATAAGGAAACTGAGGCCCAGGAAGGTCAGTGACTTGCTTCAAGGTCACATAGGTAGGTAGTAAGTATCAAAAGTGGGCTCTGAACGCCAAGTAAAAAAAAGAAATGAATCTAAGGCCTTAAGATAGTCTAGGAAGCCCATAGTCTTCCATATCAGTCATTTAGTGAATAAAGTGCCTACTGTGTGCCAGGATGTGCTTAGTGCTGGGGATATGAAAAACAGAAAAAGAGAATTCCTGCTCTGGGGGAGCTTACAATCTATTGGAGGAGACAACATGGAAATAGCTATGTACAAACAAAACATAGACAGGATAAATAGGAAATAATTAACACAGGAAAGGCATCAGCATTAAGGGGGATCCTATAGAAAGTGGCATTTTATCTGGGACTTGAAGGGAGGCAGAGACACCAGTGGGCAGAGATGAGGAGGGAGGGCATTCCATGGGCTTGTAGCTGCCATTGCTGCTGGGGAAGAGGAAAGGAGAGAAATTCCTTACCTCCCCCCGCCACCCTGCCCACGAGCCCCTTGCTGGAAATACAAGGGAACGGTCTGTTTCTCCTCAGTTCCTCCAGACTCTATGATCAGTCATCTTCGACACCATCATCCGTCACTTGTGACCAATTAGGAACTGCTGTGTCATTTCAACAAGGTGCATGTCCTTCAGGAAAGGATCAGAACAGGTCCTACATAAAGAAAGGAACCAGAGCCCATTCCCCATCCAATGGGAAGTACCTTCATCTAACAGATCAGGAGGTTCCCCACATCACTTTTATTACATACATACCTACACACATATATACATATGCATATTCATATCTATCCATATGAGATATATGCATATGTTATATAGATTGATATGATATATCATATGTATATATTCACATTCATACATATATCCCTGTATCTATATCACACATATACATGAACATGTATAGATGTATGATATAGATAGGTATTATATGTATGTATATATAAATGTATATACACACATACACAAGACAAAAGGGAATTGTTTAAAATGACTGATAAAAAAACATTTTGTAAGTCAATCTACCAGGAATTATTGTGGATATATTATGAACATTCTCCCAAAAAGTGCCTTCCTTATAGTGTAAACAGTAAGATATAATTGTTCTACTACCAGTAAGAGGAGGCTCAAAATACAACGGCTTGTGATATGAATAAAAACAATTCAGATTTTGTGGTTTATCATGCACATTTCCTACAACAATCCTGTGAAGGTAAGTAGTGCAAATATTATTCCCATCTTAGAGATGAAGAAACTGAGACTTTGAGAGGTCAGATGACTCCTCCGGAGTCTATCAGCTAATTAGTGTCAAAATTGGAAATACAAACCAAGGCTCCTCACTCTAATTCTTTCTATTGCTTCCTAGATTGGGATGTTTGTGTTTTCATCTCATTGATGAATTGCTCATGTGATTTCAGAAACAATTGAGAATACAAGAAGCTAGAATAATAGAAGAGAAAGCAGCCAAGATTAAAGAATGGGTGACTGTCAAACTACAAGAGGTATTTAGTTTGAATTTTTACTTCTTTTGAAGAGATAAGTCACAGAAAAATGAGGTGATTCTGAATGAAATGCAAAATTCTGGTCAGCTGGTGGTGCTGCTGTCTTTTGGTAAATTTGTGAAGGAGAGACTAAATTTCAATGGCTTCTCCCAAATTAAAAAAAAAATATTATCGAACATAAGTTTGACAAGTTGTCATTGAGAATGTCAGAGTCCTAATGAGTTAATTATAAATAACATTTATATGAATTATAGAACTTGTAAGTACATAATATGATATTGATGTTTTATGCATCTGAATATTGGAAAATGTTTAGCTTATATGATAAATTAAGTGGTAAAAATCCTTTCAGTACTATTTAATTTTACAATGCCGATGTTCATAGAGGTACAGTCAAGTGGAGAGTTAGGGCAATTATCTGGATCACTGAGATAAATCTGTTTAGAGGAAAAAAAGAAGGAGAGAATTTGAGACCGTAATTTTCTAAGTTGACAGTCTGTGTTGATCAATTTCACCTGATAAATTGTTTAGCCTTTGTTTTTTGCCTTTGCTTATTCAAATCCAGGCTGAGAGTAATGAGGTATTCCATGTTGTCTAAGTGTGGTAATCTGCACGTTCATTTTAGAAATGTTACCCAATTAGAACTGAATTACATTGTGTGCTTTCAGCTGGAATTGGAGAATCAGAACCTCCGTTTGATCAACCAAAATCAAACTGAAGAAATAAGAACGATACAGGCAAAACTCCAAGGTACATGGCTGCTTTTTTTTTTAAAGTAAGGTAGCTGAGTTTGGGTGTATGTGGGTACAAAGAACCCTTGTTCATCCTTATGCACCTTTTAGACATAATGAATGGTGAATAAAATGTTACCATAAAATGAGAATGAATTTTTAAAAAAATGAACCCAAACTCATTCATGAAACTAAATGTTGCTCTTCAACGCAGAAGAGAGGCTCTACCCATGCTCCAAAGATGCCACCGCTGGCCCAAAACCCTTTTAGAGATTCTCTTTTGGAATTGCCTTCAGATGAATTTGTGAACCATGTAAGAAAATTGCTTTTATTCCTTTTTAGTGGCACCTCATTTTGGATGGAAAATTATATTATCCTGCTTGAGCACTTGACTTACATGCCAGACTTGCTTCTAAGTGAGTTTTGGCTATTTCTTCAAATCCAACCCATCACAAAGGAGGGATGAAATTTACTGCCATCAATCAATTCTACTACTCCAATCAATTCAACATAACAAATATTTACTCATCTTCCCTTGGCCTCCATGACATTGCTCTTACTTGGCTTTCCTCCTACCTTTCTGACCATTCCTCAGGCTCCTTTGCTTGTTCATCCTCCTTCTCCTCCTCCTCCTCCTCTTCTTCCTTCCATCCAGTGAACATGAGTATCTCTCAAGGCCTTATCCTGAGCACTCTTCTATCTGTATATGCTCTCCCTTCACAAACTTATTGTCTCCCATGGGTCTAGGGATTGTCTCTATGCAGAAGATTTCCAGATCTCTTTATCTACCTCTAATATCTCTCCTCAACTCTAGTCCCATATTACTTAGAAAACCTCCACATGGATATCCCATAGGTATCCCAAATTGAATATGTCTGAAACAAAACTCATTATGTTTCTCCCAAAACTCATGCTTCTTCTAAACCTACCCAAACTTGTTGGTAACAACAGTATCCTTCTAGTAAACCAGATTTGCAACCTTGAAATCATCCTTAAGTCTTCTCTTTCCCATATCCAAACAGTGGCCAGGTCTTAACTATCCTGCTTCTGTAACATCTGGTGACACCAGGTACTTTGCTCTACTGCCCTGCTTTTCAACTCCCTTTTATGTGTGATTTCTTCCCCACCCCACTAAAATGTAAGCTCCCTGAGGGCTGGCACTATGTTTTTGTTTGTATTTATATCCCAAGCACTTAGCACAGTGACTGGTACATAGCAAGTGCTTTGTGACTTCATAATCCCATTCGAGGTTTTCTTGGTATGATACTAAAGTGGTTTGCCATTTCCTTCTCCAGCTCATTTTACAGAGGAAGAACTAAGGCAAACAGGGTTAAGTGACTTGCCCAGAGTCATACAGCTAGTAAGTGTCTGAGGCTGAATTTGAACTCAGTTCTTCCTGACTCCAGGCCTAGCGCTCTATCCACTTAGTTGACAGGCTATTGCTGCCTCCATTTTCTCCTCTCTCCAATCTATTCCTTGCTCAGCTGCAAAGTAGTTATTCATGAAACACAGGTTTGACCACCTCCCTCTAAAAATCCTGAATGGTTTTCCATTGATTCTAGGATAAGAACTAGAATTTAGATAGTAGCTAACATTTATATAGTGCTTTAAGGTTTGAAAAGCATTTTGTGTTATCTCATTTGATCCTTGCAACAGATGCAATTTTCATTCACATTTTACAGATGAGGAAACTGAGTTTTAGACAGTAGAAATAACTTGCCTAATGTCACACATACAGCCAAAAAGTGTCTGAGATTGGATTTGGACTCCTGTCTTCCTGACCTTAAGTCCAACACTCTATGTAATATGTATATGTATGTATACACACACACACACACATATACATACATACATCATATAAAATCGTCACCCTGTCACTTAACATCCACCTCCCTGTTACCTACTCTCCTTCTCCTCTCCACATACAATTTAGCTTTCACTTACCTTTGCCACCTTATTTCAGGTTATTCCCCTTTATCTACTCTGTTCCAATCATAGTGGTTTCCTAGCTTTTCCCCATATACAACATTCTAAGTCCTTCTTTTGTGCCTTTTCTATACATGTCTGCCATGTCTGGAATACACTCTTGCCTCATTTCTTCCCTGTGGAATATTTAACTTCCTTAAAAGCCCTCCTCCTCTTAAATGATGTCTTTCCTAATCTACCCAGTTAGTAGCAGTTTCTTCCATGAGATGACCTTGAATTAATTCATATAGTTTTATTTACTTGTGTACATGTTGTATCTCCCTGTTCTATGTACAATAGAATGTAAATTCCTTGAGGGCCAAGATTATTTCATTTTTTCATTGTATTTTCAGTGTCTAGCAAGATGCCTTGCCACCTAGTACTTAGTGAACATTTGTTTAATGAATGAATGAAAGAATGTGCTGAGCTAGATACCATGTGTGATTCAAAGAAGGAGAAGATATGGTGCGCTTTGCTGGGTGCAAATTATGGATGACCTTGAATGCCAGATAGAGGAATTTATACTTTATTCAGTAATTAATGAGTAGCCACTAAAGGTTTTTGAGTAAGGTATAATATAATTAGAGTTCCACTGTAAGAAGCTAAATCTGGCGATGGTACATAGGATGTATTGGAGGAAGGCAGAAACTGTAGATAAGGAGACCAGTTAGAAGCTATTGCAATAGTTCAGGAAAGGTGGTTGCAGTGGAAATGGAAAAAAAAGAAAGAATGTGGGATGAGGGAGAGACAGAAGTCAAAAATAACTCAGAATTTTCTAACTTGGGTGACTGAGATGACGTTAGTTCCATTGATAGAAATAGGAAAGTCAGGAAGGACTAAGTAAAATGTTGAGTTTGGTTTCAGACATGATGACATAAAGTGAAAAGAGCTGCAATTTTTCAGCAATGCAGAGCCATTGACAAAATATATACGGGTAACTGAGCAAATCACTAATTTGAATATATAAGTTCTAGTGTGAGGGATGGATTGGAAGATACATACATATACACATCCACATACATGTACACAGATATGTATGTATATATGTGTGTGTGTGTGAATACACACACACACACACACATAAACACATATATATTCTACCCGCATAATAGAAAGCATCTGATTCAATGTTTAGCCTAAGATTCCAGGATTAAATTTTAAGGGATGAATGTGCCATTTGCTATTACTGAAATAGGTTAGATTTGATAGAGATTCCTCTTAAATGCTGATTATTTCTTTCTAAGATGTTTTACTTCTACTTCTGGTAGTTATCTACCAGGTACCATTGGTAACTATTAAAAACTTAGGCCACCTTGGCCTAAGTACCCTTCCTTTAAAAAAATTAACTTATTTTAAAAACATTCATTAATTCAGTCCTTTTTTTCATTCTCAAAATGCAATTTCAGTGTAAAATTCAGGTATTATATAACCATACATCTTTTTCAATCTCATTAATTTTCTTTTTTTAATTTTATTTTTGACATAATTTTTACATGTTACATTTATTTCTGAATATATCTCTTCCCCCTTTCACCTACCTAGAAAGCTAATCCCTATTATGGAGTGAAAAGGATATAAAGAAAAAGTATTTGAGCAAAACCAAGCAATACACTGACCACATCTCGTAGTATATGCAATATTTTACCTAAGGTATCCTTCCTAATCACAGGTAAGACAGGATAAAACTCCTGATCTAGTCAATATTGTCTTTTTTAAAACAAAAACTGTACTCTTTGTTGCAACATATATATATATATATACACACACACATATATATACACACACACACACATATATGTATATGTTGGGGTGTGTGTGTGTGTGTGTGTATGGAAGAACTATCTCTAACAGAGCTAGATGGAGGCATGTGGAGCAGTGGAAAGGGTCTTGGATTTTAGAGTAAGAGTGCTAGTTTAAGAAATGACTCTGGGGGCAGCTAGGTAGCTCTGTGGATAGAGCACCAGCCCTGGATTCAGGAGAACCTGAGTTCAAATTCGGCCACGGACACATAACACTTACTAGCTGTGTGACCCTGGGCAAGTCACTTAACCCCATTGCCTAGCCAAAAAAAAAAGAAAGAAAGAAATGACTCTGGTACTTACTACCTGTGTATCATTGGCCACATCCTTTGATCTTTCTTTGCCTCAGTTTCCACAACTATAAAACGGGGAGGTGGACTAGGTGACATAAAAGGTCCTTTTCAGCTCTAAATCTGTGATCCTTTGACAAATTTAAATGAATAATCACAATTAAAATATGTAGATGTTTTGTGGTACCCTCTTGATTACCTTAAGTTATTATCAACGTACATTTAAGTTAGTTAGACTTCTGGGAGTTCTCCCAGAGCAAAGGTATAAATTCCTTGGAAACTTTTCTGATAATGACAGATAGATAAATAGAGCATTTATTTAGTGCTTATTGTGGGTCTGACACTGTGTTAAGTACCAAAATACAAATACAATGAAAAAGACAGTTCCTGCCCTCAAGGAGCTTCCATTCTAATAGGGGAAGACAGCACATAAAAGGGAGCTGCCAAGGGTAGGAGGAGAAGTATCCTCTTGGGGACAAAATGGAAAAGTAGTTTAAGTGCTTAGCAAACTATGGTGTGCTGCCTGCCATTGCTGATGAGTCAAGCTCATGATTAGATGCCTTCCTAATCATGAGATCATAGATTTAGAGTACCTTTAGGGGCATTGAGGCCATTCCTTTCATTTTAGAGATGAAGACTGAGGCAGAGAGAAAGAGGGTCAGTGACTTGTCCAGAATCACACAGTTAAATGCTTGATGCAGCATTTAAAGCCTAGTGTTTCTAACTCCGAGTTCAGCTGGAGAATGCTTATCTTATTGTCTCTCTCTCCTATTTTCTGTAGAGAGGCAGCTTAGAGTGTCTGCCTTCATGACAGAGTAAATCAACCTGTTCCATCTGCCTCCTTCATAGGATTTAGAAGTTGATAACATGGTGTCTACCTGTGCACCCTGTGATATTTTTCCACAATACTTTGGTGCTTGAAACATCTATGGTTTCATTGGTTTCCTTCTCTAATAGAGCTCATAATCTCTCTTTGGTTTGTCAGTTTCTAAGAGTAAAAAAATAAACCATCATACAACCAACTTATTGATGGGTCTTGGACAGCAATCAATCCATCACAAAGCCTGCAGTGGACATCTTTCAGCTTGGTAGGGCCTGCAAGAATTTGCACTTTACTGGCATAACTTTGAGAATCTGGCATTACCTCCGTGCCACAATGAGGCATTGTGTTAGGACTTCAGTAGAAGATTTTGCTTCCACTTTGAATCCAGTTCTCTCTAGGTTATCTTGGCAGCCAAGATGTCAATCACTCCTTCGCCCTTGCTCTCCTATCCTCAGATGCTAGCATTATTGAGTAAGCAGGTTCCACTCCCACTGCTGGTCTTAATGTTCCTATGTGGTTGCAGCTTATACTGGCAGGTTCTAATCTACTTTTATGTCTGGGCCAACATTTTATAAAGGGGCCACATTCTTTACCTCTAAACTTTAAAAAAGCACATTTTGAACATATGACAATTTAGAAATACAGCATTTTCTCATAGGCTACATGATTTTTTGTAGGTGGTCTTTGACATTATGGCGTCTTCTGGGATAAAGAATGAAATTTTGACTTTTTACTTTCTTACATAGCGAAGAGAGTTATCCAAATGGTGTATGTTTTGGACTCATGTGCAGTCTGTTAGAAGGACATATGATCATTCTCAATTATTTAATTGCAGAAGTTCAAGGGAAGAAACTGTCCACTGCCTCCCCACCAAAGCCTTCAGAAGGCCAGCGCCTAAGCAGTTTGACTTTCGGATGCTTTTTATCCAGAGCAAAGAGTCCTCAGCAAGTAATTAAATCAGAAGAAATAAGCAAGATATCGTCTAAAGAACCTGAGTTCCCAGAAGGAAATCATGTAGAAGGTATTTATTGCCTAGTGTTATTTACTTTTAAATGTAGGCCTGTATTTTGAATCTCTTATTAGCTTATCTCCTGCATGAAAGCTTTCTTTTACACCTCGTTCCTTCACTGTGGCAGTTCTTCCATGTGATTGGAAGTGATGTTTTCTTTAAATGGCATAATTTACAAGCTTATGTAAAGAAGAATAACCAAGTTTAATTTAGAGTGACTATATTTGTACCAAATTGAAAGTTATTGAAGAGTAGTTATAGAAAAAAACAGTTTACAAATAGACAAGCTTATTTAAAGCATCTCGCCAAGTTGATGTTTTCTTTTCTAGAAATGGACATCCCAGAAACTTCCCTTGGTAACCAAGTACAAGAACACAACAAAGGTCAGAGGTCTTTACAGCAAAACTCCTGTAGCTTGGAACAGAATGGGGCAACAAAGGCAAGTTACACCCTCCAAGGTGTAGATGGCGTCAAAGACACATCAAAGAATTCCTGTGTCACCGTAAGTGACTGGAGTTCTGATGAGGAAGAAGAAAGCAAAGAAAGGTCCAAATCCAGGTGTGACTCTACCCTTTCTAGTCATACTTCAGAGGACAGTACCAGGTACAGCAGAATGGGAAGTGAAATGTATTTGACAGCATCTGATGACAGCAGTTCTTTATTTGAGGAAGAGAGTTTTGGCATTAAGAGAACTGAGCACAAGAAGTTATATTCCTGGCAACAGGAAGCACAATGGAAGGCTCAGAACAGTATAAGTGGAAAAGGAAATTGTGAATCACGGAGTAAAAAAGGGAAAGATGGTTTTTCAGATGAACTGCACAAGAAATTTCAGTGCCAGAGACTGGATTATTCATCTTCATCTAGTGAAACCAACACCCCAAGTCCTATTTTAACCCCAGCGTTAGCCCCCAAGAATCCTAGCCTGCTGCCCACTGAAGGACATCAGCATTCGATGCCGTTCCATCCTTCCTCAAATCTGCCCCCTGCAAAGTTAAGGATTCCTAATGTTTTCAGTATAAGTGTTGCTTTGGCCAAAAGACACTTGAGTCAGCCCCAGTTAAGTTCTGACCGAATGTTTGGCAGAAACAGAAACGCCATAAGCATGATCCGACCCCTCAAACCTCAGGAAACAGATATCGATCTGGTTGATGGAGATAGCACAGAGATCGTAGAAAATATGGATGTTGGTTATGATGATGGAGTGTTTTCCTATGACTCCCTTGAAGCACCTTGTTCAGAAGATTCAGAAGTATGTGATTCAGTTGCAAAAAAGGCAGCTGGAGGCAAACCTCCAACTCCTCCACTTCATCGGTTTCCTTCCTGGGTAATTATTACACTGTGGGTACCGCCCCCACAGTACCCTTTCCTTCTCATAGTGTATTAAGTTAGTCTGATTGTCAGGTTTAATTTTATTTATTTTCTTGTCTTTTCTAAAAGCTTCATTTCTGAAACTTAATGTAATAGGAAGTTAGAATATAGTCCCTGGGTATCTGATGCTTTTTGGTAAGTTTTGAATTACAATACTATAAATATTTAGATAAATCTATGATCTATTTTTTTTTTAGTTTTCAACATTCATTTTTATAAGATTTTGAGTTCCAATATTTTTCTCCCTATTTCTCTTCCCTTCCCCCTCCCCAAGATGGTAAACAATTTGATATAGTCTATACATGTACAATATGATGTATCTATGATGGATACCTCTATCATCTATCTTTATCAATAGATCTATAAAAATATCTATCATTTTTATAGATGATAAATTTACAGATATTTAATAGATTGATAATTTCATATATATTGTCCATCTATAGATATCTGTATTCTATCTCTAGGTATCTATAGATATCTATCATATATTAATACTTTAATTTACATCTACAATATAGATATATAATTTATATCCATTATAATACCTATAATCACTATAGGTATTTCCCTCCACTGCTACAGATTGTAAGCAGCACCCCCCTCTTATCTTGGAGATTCCTGTCAATCAGTCGATACACATTTTATAAATAATAGATAAATAATAAATGAAGTACCTGCTGTATGCCAGCCCCTGTGATAAATGCTGGGGATAAAAAGAGAGTCAAAAAATAATCCTGCTCTCAAGGGGACTGCTCACAGTCTGCTGAGGCAGATGAAATGTAAACAACTATGTATAAACTAGGTCCTGTATCAACAGGATAAATTGGAAATAATCAACAGAGGGGAAAGGACTAGAATTCGTGTCTATGTCTCTCTCTAAATCATCCCAAGGTGTTGGAGGGCCTCGTTGCAGTACCTGTGCTGTCCCGCCTTTGCTCTTGCTATGGAATCAATTCACTTCCTTTTCCATTCATTCATATTCTTTATGGTGACTCTGATGTCCCCTTTCATGGAAAAGTCATCATACATTGTTGTTGTTTAGTAGTGGTCTGACTCTTCATGACCCCATTTGGGGTTTTCTCAGCAAAGATACTGGAGTGATTTGCCATAGCCTTCCCCAGTTCATTTTATAGATGAGGAACAGAGGCAAACAGGGTTAAGCTGTCCAGAGTCACATAGCTTGTAAGTGTCTGAGATCAGATTTGAACTCATGAGGATGAGTCTTCCCAATTCCAAGCCCAGTGTTCTATCTGTTGAGCCACCTAGCTGCCCCATTGGTAATAGGCTCAGCCTCTTTAAACCTACCATGTAGGTTTCCATTTCCGTTGGGCTCATTTGGAATTATGATTCTTCTGAGATCATTGTATTCCATGATTTGTAGCCATATAGCTTTACTGGGAGAATATAGGTGTTATAGAAGATGAGCTTAGAAGCAATTTGGCATAGAGCTAGGGGTTTTTTTGTGTCTTGGATCCCTTTGGCAATCTGTTGAAGCCTATGGACCCATTCTCAGAATGATATTGGGTTTTTTAATTCATAATTAAAAGAAATACCAAGTTTCAGTGATGTAATTTTTTTCCATCCAAGTTCATTGACTCTCCCCTGTCCTGACATCTATCCAAAGACCAAGTCTATGGACGCCAGATTAAGAACCTTCTGACGCAGAGAATAGTGAGCCGGTCTTAGAATCAGGATAACCTGGGTTTAAGTCCCATCTCTGACATATAAGGGCTAGATGACTCTGACCAAGTCACACTCATTGCCCCTAGGCAACTTCATAAATTAGAAAATCTGTGCTGGTAGAAGGAATTTGCCTCCACTGATAAAGATTGGTTTTTGTAGCAGAGGCCACCTTTGGATCATTAAAAAAAGTTTATAAAATATGATCCAATTCAATTTCTTCTGACTACTCATTGGGAACACAGTAAGTACCATATAATACTTTCATTAAAATCAGTCTTATAAATGGTATCTGAGCTGTTGGAGGGCTTTGTTAGATTTTTAGATAAATTAGGGGCTTAATTCATTTTAAAGTTCTTTTAAAAGAGCATGATTTCCTGAATACAAATACAGTACGTTCATAGAGAAATAGAAGGTCATCCACTCTTATTTTGAATTGAACCTTTAATTGCAATGTATTTTGTGTCCAGACCACCATGAATTCTTCTACAATATAGTATTAAATACTGGATGGCACAGGGAAACATGTTGGAATATGACGCTAAGATTCCAATTATCTATCCCCTAGACAATGTCCCTCCATGATTCTGACCCTTTTAAATATGTATACTTTCCCAAGAAGTTACATGAGACTGGAATTCATTGTGTTAAACTACTTTTTCTGGGGGCAGCTAGGTGGTGCAGTGGATAGAGCACTGGCCCTGGAGTCAGGAGGACCTGAGTTCAAATCTGGCCTCAGACCAAACACTTGATGCTTACTAGCTGTGTGACCCTGGGCAAGTCACTTAATCCCAATTGCCTAAAAAAAAAATTTTTTTAAAAACCAACTACTTTTTCTGCTCCTATTTCCTTATTGCCCTTCATCTTGGTCTTCTTTCTCTGAGTCCACTTGACCCTGGAGAAGTAATTCTGCTTTCAAGTGCCTCTTAGCAGCCTAAGTATTGAAAATTGGGTTTTTCAAGGTTTTGTGACTTTATTTTCCATAAGAGAAGGAAAACAAAATAAAAATACCAGCTTACCTTTAGATTAAGAGCATAGATTTAGAGCTGGGAGGAAACTTGTAGGGGGACCAGCCCCCATCATTTTATAGATTAGGAAACAGAGTCTCAGAGAGGTTAATGTGACTTGTCTAAGGTCACACAGGCAGTAAGTGCTTCCAATATTCCAAGGAGCTTTCCAGCTCCTCTGACGTCAAACTCAGTACTCTTTGGATTGTAACCTCTGCCTCATTCTTTCTAAACTTATTCTTCATGCTTACCACAACCCAAAGTACTTCCATGTTATCCCAGGAATCCCCCTCTGTCCATTTTTTTTTTTTGCAAATCTCAAATCAGATCTTTAGTTTGCCTTTTTTTTTTTGCTTTTATCCAGATAGAAATGAAGAATAATAAATCTCTTGGTATTTAACAATCTTCACAATCTCACCCATTCCTCACCCTCTCTGGTCATCTTACACATATTCTGCTCTTTGTATTCTAAGGTTCAGCCTTGTGGGCTGGCTTGTTGTCCCTGAGACCCAACATTCCATCTTCTGACTCCATGTCTTTGCACTGGATGGGGCCTCCATGACTGAGATGCTCTTTCTCTGTACCTCTGCCTCTTGGAATCCCAAGTTTCCTAAAAAGTCAACTCATATGGCACCTTCTTCATCAAACCTTTGCTAACCCCCCCAGATGCTAGCATCTTCTCATCCAAAGTTAGTTACCTTATGTTTGCTTTGTATGTGTCTGCATCTACATACCAGACATACAAATATATGCACATATATGTAGTATACCCCTTAGAATGTAAAGTCTTTTGTCTTTGTACCCTCAGGATATAGCACATTTATGGAAGGGATTAAGTGTGGTCTTCTTCCCATTCCCTACCAGTTATACTGCTTTCGGATGTCTGTGGACCTTGCCATACCTTCTTTCCCTAGGAAACTCATCATTGGAAATCATATTATCCTGAAAGATTGAATCCACATGGGTACTCACATCTCATCAGTACTCTGCACCTCAAGACCATATGTGACCTTAGTCTAGGTCCTTGGGTGTGGCCTTTTGACTGAGTCCAAGTTTTATAAAACAAACCCTTTTATTAAGAGGATTTGTTCTGTGGAGTTTGGATTCAATCAAAGGGCCCTACTTGAGGACCTAGAGGGCCACATGTAGCCTCGAGGCCACAGGTTCCAGATTCTCTGAATGGAGGTCATGGGCTTGTGGGCCTCCATTTAAAGAAGGGGCTTAGTATAGTCTTCTCCCCATTTCCCACTGTTTTTAGACCTCTCCATCATGCCCCGTATCTCCCCTTCCTCTTTTCAGCTCTCTTTTGTGTGTTGTCCTCCTCCATTAGATTGTAAGCTCCTTGAAGGCAGGGACTGTCTTTGGTTTTATTTGCATCCCCAGCCTATCTCCTGCCACACTGTTTGGCACATAGTAGGCATTTAATAAATATTTATTGACTGACATAGTAAATGCTTGTTAATTGACTGATTGAAATAGCCTCCTGATTATACTTTGGCTCTAACTTTTCACTTCATGTCAGAGCCACTTTAATTTTTTTTTCTTTTTATCTTATGAGGGTTGTAGAGATTCTAGAATAGTTAGTAATTATAAATGCCTTCTCTAAGTTTTTCTGTCTCTAGAAAAAAAGTCAAAATATTAATAAGAAAATAAATATAATACAGTATTCATTAAATAACTAACAAATGAAAAATGCCTTCATATGTCCTCAAAATAGCATATTTTACTTAGCATTGACAATTATATTGCAATAATATCACAGAATGATGAATGGAGAGAAGTTTGAGCATCAAAAATGACTGGGCACACTAACTCAAACCTCTGTCTTTAAACTAGGAAAGCAGGATTTATGCTGTGGCCAAATCAGGCATTCGAATGTCTGAAGTCTTCAGTACAGATAATATTAATAAAAGTAAGTGATTTTGGTTTGTATACCTTGTGCAATTTGCTTAGGGCTTGTGGGTTATCTAAGATAAAGCACTGCCGCTGCAATAAACAACAGACGGGCTTAAACTTACCGACAGTTATCTTGTATTATTGTCTTTTTTAGAGTACATGTTAAATTTCATCATTTTCAATTTAGAGCTGTATACTTTGAATTCCAACACACGATTCATTCTAATTAGTTGTATTTCCTGCTGTAATTGTGAAAAAGATGAAGATAACATATGAGTTACAGGATAATTTAACCAGGATGACTCAAACAGGTCGAATGGTTAACTTGGCTGTTCCCAAAGAGTTGCCATTAATAGTTCCATGTCAATTTAGAAGGGTGGCTCCAGTGTTATTTAACATTTTTATCAATGACTTCAATAAAGATATAAATATCAAGGTTGTCAGATATGCAGATGGCATAGAACTGGGAGGGTTAGTTAATACATTAGATGACAGAAGTTTCAAAAGGATCTTGACAAGCTAGAACATTGTGCTGAAGCCGATAAGATGAAATTTACTGGGGATGAATGTACAGTCTTAAACCTGGGTTAAAAGTTAATCACAAGGACAGCCTGAGGAGGCATAGTCAGATGACTCTTTGAAAAAAGTCTGAGAATTTCAGTTAACTGCGAACTTAAAATTAATTAATAGTACGATATGGCAGCCAAAAAAGTTAATGTGGTCTTTTGTTGTTGTTCAGTTGTTTTCAGTCTTGTCTGGCTCTTTGTAAATCCATTTGGGGTTTTCTTGGCAAAGATACTGAAGTGGTTTGTCATTTCGTTCCTAACTCATTTTATAGATGAAGAGCTGAGGCAAGCAGGGTTAAGTGACTTGTCTAGGGTCACATATCTAATAAGTATGAAGCCAGATTTGAACTCACAGAGATGAGTCTTCCTGATTCTAAGTCCAGCACTCTATCCACTGTGCCACCTAGTTGCCCTAGGCTTCATTAAAAAGGGCTTAGCATCCAGGGTTTAGGAAGGTTATAATCACACAATATTCTTGGTCTGGTCTGACCACATGTGTAGTATTGTGTTTGGTTTTAGGTGTATCATTTTAGAAAAGACATTGATAAGCTGGAAACATGGAAAGGAGGTCTACTAGAATGATATAAAGGGCTTTGAATTCATGTCGTATGAGGATCATCTGGAGGAACCAGGGTTGGTTAGCTTGGAGAAGAGATGACATCAGAGTTATCTTCAAGTATTTCAAGGGCTGCCTTGTAGAAAAGTAGAAAAGTCTGTTTGTCTTCAGAAAGCAGGAGTTGAATCAGTAGGTAGAAGTTAAAAAGAGGCAAATTTAAGCACAATATAAGGGGAAATTTCCAACAATTAAGGATACCCAAAGTGGGATGGAATAGGGTTCCAGGGCCTCATGAAAAGTACAGAGGAGCCTAACTCTCCCACTTTTACTCCAGCAGAGATCTAAAATGAGCTCTAAATTGGATAAAAAACCCCCAAAAGAAACTTCAGTTAGCTTTTTTATCTTTTAAAAAATTCTTTGTTATAAGGAATGACTCTCTGGGCACAGGAAGGGGTAAGGATATAGGTGATATAAAATAAAAGATATCAGTAAAAATCTGTTTTAAAAAGAAATGAAGCAATAAAAGATATCAGTAAAAATCTGTTTTAAAAAGAAATGAAACAAGAAAGTTGAGGTTATGGAGGAAAGATTTAGAAGGAGAATTAATGGCTTAGGGGTAGCTAGGTGGCACAGTGGATAGAGCACTGGCCCTGGATTCAGGAGGACCTGAGTTCAAATTCGGCCTCCGACACATAACACTTACTAGGTGTGTGACCGTGGGCAAGTCACTTAACCCCATTGCTTCGCCAAAAAGAGAGAGAGAGGGAGAGAGAGAGAGAGGGAGAGAGAGAGAGAGAGAGAGAGAATTAATGGCTTAGAATAGAATGTGGTAAAATTAATCCAAGATACAGACTTCCTGAAAATTAGAATGGACCAAATAAAGATTAGTGACTCCACAAAACAACATGATATTGGAATAAATCAAAAGATAGAAAAGGAAAAGAAAATATTTTGTAATCACCTGAGTACCTGAAAACCATGAACCTCTAAAAATCCTAGATTTTTAAAAATCCTACTTTATTTTGAGAAATCATAAATAAAAACTATCCAGATTGACTAGAACCAGAGGGCAAAGTGAAAACAGAAAGAATACACCAATCACCTCCAGAAAGAAACCCCCAAAATTACAACTCCCAGGAATGTTACAGCCAAAATCCAAAAATAACTTACCCAACAGAGGAGAAATAGAATCAAGGAATATCAAGCATTGTTGTTGAAAGATCAGGGCTCAACAGAAGCTATGAAATATAAATACATGAATCAAGAATAAATTAGGAAGGTAAGTACATCTGAGCACTTGGAAGGGGCTGGATAATGATGAAAGTGATTACAGTCTACAGAGAGAAGAAACAAGTATACCTTGAGAACCCTAATGTCTCAAGAGTCATAGAAGGAGTTAAATGACAAACAGAGAGACAGGGGGTGATTTGGCTCTGTTTTTATGGTCTTAATAAAAAGAAAGAAAATAGAAGAAAATGGGAATGTACACAGGAAGAAAGGAGTAGGAAGGGGAAAGAACTATCTCATATAATTGGGCTGTGTAAGATCAAGAACATATAAGGTTGGAGGATGGGGTGGGGAGGAGGAATCATAAGAACCTTGCTTTGATCTGAACCAGACAGAGAAGGGCTGAGTGCCCACAACACATAGAGTTTAGTGTAGAAATACATTAAGCTCGACAGAGAAATAGGAAGGGACAGGAAGAGAAGAGAGCATGATTTTAGAGGAAAGGTAGATAATTAAAACAAACTCCAACATCCCAGGGTGGATTGTGATGGGAGAATTAAAAAGTAGGAACTTGTGACTGGGAAACTGAGTAAGTTGCAGAAGGGCAGAGGGAAGAATTTGCTGTTGTTCAGTCATGTCTGACTCTTTGTGACCCCATTTGGGGTTTTCTTGGTAAAGGTACTGGAGTGGTTTACCATTTCTTTCTCTAGCTCGTTTTACAGATGAGAAAACCGAGGCAAACAGGGTTAAGTGACTTGCCTAGGGTCACACATCTAGTAAGTGTCTGAAGCCAGATTTAAACTCAGAAAGAGGAGTCTTCCTGATTCCAAACCCAGTGCTCTATCCACTTTGCCACCTAGCTACCCTGGGTTGAGGTTGGGGTAGGGGTGGAGAGTGGGAGGTAGGGAAGAACTATATCCCTGCAATTATAAATCAGTAATATAAAACAAGGGGCAGCTGAGTGGCACAGTGGATAGAATACTGGCTTGGAATAAGGAAGACTCATCTTTCTGAGTTCAGATTGACCTCAGATGCTTACTAGCTCTGTGACCCTGGGCAAGTCACTTAACCCTCTTTGCCTTAGTTTCCTCACTTGTAAAAAGAGCCAGAGAAGGAAATGGCAAGCCACTCCAGTGTCTTCACCAAGAAAACCCCAAATGGAATCACGAAGAGTCAGACACTACTGAAAATGACTGAACAACAAAGTATAAAGCACACTTTCTCTTTCACACCTTCTTTGTTAAGAGGGAGCCCACGTAATGGACAGAGAACAAAAAGCATTAGGTCAAAGGAAATGGGGGGGTAGGAGGGCACAGATACACAATTAATCATAATAATGATTCCATTAAGGCAGAATGGATTAGAAAGCAGAATTCAACAATCTATCCTTTACAAGAAACTTTTGAAACATAAATATTCACAGAATTAAAAGAAGAGGCTGGTGCAAAATCTATTTTGCTTCAGGTGAAAAATGGGAAGGGTTGTCTCAGGAGCTACTGGATTCCTTTATATTGGATATAGTGCTCTAACTGCATTTAGGAAGACCTGAGTTCAAATCTGACCTCAGATGTTTCCTAGCTGTGTGAACCTGGGCAAGTCATTTAGCCTCTGCCCTATTTTCCACATCTATAAAATGGAAATCAGAATAGCGCCTAATGCACAGGGTTATTGTTAGGATCAACTGGAATAATTTTTGTAAAGCACTTTGTAAGCCTTTAAATGTCATAGAAGGGCTAGTTATTATTATTAATTATCATCATTATTATTATTCTCATTGAGGCCGCATGACCACTTGTCAGGTATTTCATAGAGAAGATTCTTTTCTAGATTGTGGAAGGATTTGAACTAGATGGATACTCAGGTCCTTTCTAGTTCTGACATTCTGTGATTCTGTGAATTCTTTACCCGAAAAAGGATAGATACAAAGAATTTCTTGTGTGAGATTTTCACATTGTAAATCTGTAGAAATAGGTAGTAGTAGATGATTTTGGGGGACAAACCACTTCCTAGTAGTGGGAAGAGTAGTATCCTGGAATCTTCCTCTTGTCCTGCTGGCCTCTTCTCCTTTTCACATGTGTAGGATCTAGATTTTTTTCACCTGATGCTCACCTGAAAAAAGTGATTGATAGCAGAGTTCCATGGAAGTAACATCAGGTAATCATAAGGTGTTTGCATGAAGTAGTCATACATTTAGGAAAGATCAGCAAATATTTGTTGAGCACCTTCTGTATGCCTAGAGTTGTACCAAGTACTTACTGTCAGGAATATAGAAGAATGAGACATGATCATTACTACCCTTAAGTAATTTCCAATCTAGATGGAGAAAAATGATTAATACATACCACCTCTCAATCCTTTGACTTGATCCTATATGCATGAAAAACACTGAAAATTAGTCTAATGTACAATTAAGTCTGAAAGTGCTGCAGGTTGTAAGTGCTGTCATTCATTCTGTAGAAATCTTAGTGAAGAGCCACTTGCATTAGTATATGTTCATGTCCTTTCTAAATTTTGTCACATTCAGAAGAAAGACATTCCCTTCCCCACTCCACTGGCATTTCAATCCACAATTGTCATTTATTCTGTTCTTGATTTCAGATTCTTTGTTGATGCCTTCTTATTCTACATCAGGACTGTATACATCTCTGATTTACAAAGATATGACAACTCCAGTGTATACAACTTTGAAAGGGGTAACTTTGTTGTCATTATTAAACATAGTTGTGGTTGTGAAAATTCTGTACAATCTCCTTTATTCAGGCTCTGGATTCCAAACTTGATGTTTTTCCTGGGTATGCCTGTGACTTTGAAAAGCATATCAGAAGTGGATTGTGAACACAGGAGCAATGGAAAATGTCTGGAAAAGACTGAGTTGGTTTCTATTGTTCTCATGTAGATTTTTTCCCATTATTCATTGTTTAAAAGAACCATATTAGTAATGATGTAGTAATTAGAGCTCTAATTTAGAAAGATCTTTATATCCTTGCCAGGTTTGTTTTTTCTCCCCAAATAACCTGAAATATGCTTGAAATTAAAATGATTTTATTCAGATGTTGACAACACTCATATTTTTAAAGGCCTTTTATGTCTACAAAATCCTCTGTTAGTTAGAATTAGGTGGACTTTTAAAAAATACTACTTAAAGAATGGCAAAATTAATGAGTTTGGAATGTCTTAAGACAATTTTATTCCATGACTTGAATTTACAAAAAATTATCTTGTATGTGTTTGTTTTGTGTGTTTGTGTATATATATGCACGTTCTCATGAGGAAACAGCTATAGAAAGCTACGTAAATATGCATATTTATATTTATGAGATTGTTGTGCTACTTTTCTTTAGAAGGCAACCCAAATAAGCAACAGCCCATTCTTAGATGACTCATCAGGATCTGAAGAGGAAGACAGTTCTAGATCCAGTTCCCGGACATCTGAATCAGATTCTCGAAATCGAAGCAGGCCAGGGAGCCCTCGAGCCATGAAACGAGGTAAGAAGAAGTCCCCAAACTGAGGAGATACCTCGACTCTACACGAACATCAAATAATTTGCAAAACATATTGGGAATATAATCTCTATAGTATGAGAGTTCTTTATCAACATGCCTGCTTTAGAGCATCCAACCCCAATGGCTCTGTGATTCCATCAGTTGGGGTATCACCTCTAGTGCTAACACAACCCATCCATGGCTGATATACTACGGTAGTGGTGTTGAACTCAACTAGAAATAGGAGACACTAAATGCTACATAAGGTTATCTGTGGGCTGCATGTTGACTTAGAAAATCACATATTATCATCATCTGTGTTCTATTGTATTTTCATTCTTTTGTAAAATATTTCCCAATTACATTTTAATCTGGTTTGGGCCTGCACTTGGGGGTATTGAAGGTCACATTGTGACATATTTGTTGTTGTTGTTGTTTTTTAGGCAATTGGGGTTAAGTGATTTGCCCAGGGTCACACAGCTAGTAAGAGTTAAGTGTTTGGTCTGAGGCCGGATTTGAACTCAGGTCCTCCTGATTTCAGGGCCAGTACTCTATCTACTGCGCCACCTAGCTGCCCCCACATTGTGACATGTTTGATACCTCTACTCTAGTATAATAGAAAAAAACTTTCAGGGTCACGAGACTGGAGTTATCATGATGACTAAACCAATTGTGTGATATTCATTCAGAAAGTCATTGGCCTTTCTATATCTGTTTATTCAGTTGTAGAATAGAAAAATGATAACTACTCTACTTTCTTCATAGTGTTATTGTGGAGATAAAATAAGGTAAATAACCTGATGAAATATGGTTTCTCTTTCAACTTGATTGCTTGGCATTCTTTTTATCACTTGATTATTCTCTGATAATTTCTGGAGTATGATATACTACTTAAAGTCAGAAAAACATCTCCAAAGCGATTTTTCATCCCAAATTCTTTCTCTTAACAAAATGGCAGCCAGAACACATTTTAAATGGGTGTGTCTTCTGAAATTGTTAATGAATTTCAATGAAATGTGGTACATAGATGTTACAGTGAAATGTGATTACATAGATTAAGATCTATAGGTCATATAACCATTAATATACATGAAAGCATTATTTAAAAGCTAGTTGTTATTTTTGCCATTATGAATTTATATCAAATAAGAAACAGAAATGATGTATGTTATTGACATAGCAAGTTACAACATGATCTTTGAATGTTAGCAAACACTTTGTATCAGCTCCTGCTGATATGATGGATAGGTACCCCAGTTTTTTATTTTAGTGTATGGATCTGAAGCTAAGCCCAAATACAAGTTTAAAAATTATAGCATATTTCATCACAATGGGAGAATTTTTTTTTATTTAGTGATTCATCACATATGACTTACTAGGTGAAAGTAGATTTTCCTAAAGGAAGTGAATCAATGTGGAAGTGACTTTTTAAACTCTAAGTTATAGGAGGAGAAGAAAATGACATTGGATCATACTTTAAAATAACTCACTATTTTAAAAAAAGCATCACATATTTAAAAAGTGAGTGGGATGACATCTGTGGCAGGATAAGATCTCTAAGACAGCCCATGAACAATATAACCATGGATAGCTCTTTCCAGATATCAAAATAACTGGGTAAAAATGCTTGCCACGAGGGACTTTTTAATAATTAGAGGGCATGCTTTAACTTATATTGAGAACCTGAGTCAGATATAAAGTGATATCACACGAAAGATTATGAAGGGATATCATTTGAAGTGATAGGAAGTGATGTCATGGAAAGGGACAGCTTGTTATAATAGGAAAGTGATGGATGTGGAGTCAAGAGAGATGAGAGTTTGAATGCTGACTCTGACACTAACTGTGTGACCCTAAGCCAAGTCCCTTCTCTTTGGGGCTTAGTTCTTTTTATGTAAAGTGCAAATAATCATACCTATAATGCCTTCCTAAAGGCAGCATACTGTATGGGGTAGAAAGGTGACCTCTGAGTTAGGAAGACCTGGATTCAAGTCCCACCTCAGACACACCCTGGCTTTTTGACCCTCGGCAAGTCACTTCTATATAGATGTGACTGTAACTTATAGGGACAGCTTGGTGGCACAATAAATAGAGTGGAGTCAGGAAGACTCATCTCTGTGAGTTCCAATCTGGCTTCATACTTATTAGATATGTGACCCTAGACAAGTCACTTAACCCTGTTTGCTTCAGTTTCCTCATCTGTAAAATGAGCTGGAGAAGGAAATGGCAAATGATTACAGGCAGCTAGGTGGCGCAGTGGATAGAGCACTGGCCCTGGAGTCAGGAGGAGCCAAGTTCAAATCCGGCCTCAGACACATAACACTTACTAGCTGTGTGACCCTGGCACATTGCCTAGCAAAAAAAAAAAAAAAAAAAGTACTATGTCACAAGGAATCTGCATTTACCCAGTGAAAAACAGTTCATTGAACATGAAATTGAAGAAAAATGAATTAAAATATAACTTAATTCAAACCATTACAGTATCTTTGCCAAGAAAACCCCAAATGGAGTCACAAAGAGTCAGACATGTCTGAAAATGACTGAACAACAAAATAACTTGCAGAACAAGTGCTAATCTTCATTCATACCTAATGTGAAGAAATCAAGACTTAAAAAAACAGTGCCATCAAAACAGCTGTTTCAGTAGGTAGGATGCCCATGTGGATGGAGTCATGATTTTTTTAAAGTAGTGATACAAGAAGAAATCTATTCTAAATGTAGACTTCAAGATATGTTATCTGTGTAAACACACCCAAACCCCTTTATTTCATGTGCTTCCTGACCTCAATAGAAACTTGCCTGGCTAACTCTACCAATTCCTTTCCTTTTTCTTCTGATCTGTGTTCTACAAAGCCAAATCAAGTGTATGTGTAAAGGTTAATCCATGATGACTTAGGGGATAAAACACTAACATCTCTTAGAGACTCCAGACAGTAGAAGCTAAAGGGAACTCAAGGCCATCTTTGTTGTGTAGATGAAGAAACAGAACCCCGGGAAGAAGTGACTTGCCCAAGACCAGACAGATAGTCTGAAGCATGATTTGAACTCAGGTTCTCTGACTCCAAAGCCTGTGAGTGCTTTTTCCCACTGTGCCATCGGCTACATGTTGAGATAGTCTGGGTTATAACATGAATGCACTTTATTTTATTAATCAATCAGGTGTGTCTTTATCCTCTGTAACTTCTGAAAGCGATTATGCTATTCCTCCTGACGCCTATTCAACGGATACAGAATATTCAGAACCAGAGCTGAAGCTCCCCAAAACTTGTTCTTCTTCCAGTGATAATGGAAAAAATGTAAGCACAGTAATATTTTTTCATATCAATAGACCCCTCAGTTAGGAGGGTCCAACAGTTGACACATTTATGAGATTTTTCTTTTTCTTTTCAAAATTAGGAGCCCCTGGAAAAATCTGGCTATTTGTTAAAAATGGGTGGTAAAGTAAAGACCTGGAAACGGAGGTGGTTTGTTCTTAAAGGTGGTGAATTACTTTATTACAAATCTCCGGTGAGTATGAGGCACTAAATTGTTTACTATGATATCCACCAAACTGTAACTCAAACTCCTGATTCCTTTTCATCCACAGAACTCCAGTAATGACAACAAAGCATTTTTTAAAAAATTGTTTGTATATTTAAAGGAATAGCAAGTTGTGCATAGCAGATTTGCAGTTTCATGTACAATTATCTTTTCTATTGTACTATGTTATGGAAATGCTTGTTTTGTTCCATAAATTAAAAATAATCTTTTAAAATTGCATTGCAGATTATCACATTAAATTTGGTTTTCTCTTTTTTTCACAGAGTGATGTGATTAGAAAGCCCCAGGGCCATATTGAACTTAGTATGTCCAGTCATATCGTTAGAGGAGATAATAAACAAACAGTTCAGGTAACTGTCTCAAGTATTTTTATATCCTACATAATCAACTCTCAATTATCCACGTGAAAAGAGGAGTAGGAAGGTGAATTTGTGTTTGCTCTGCTCCCCTAGGAGAATATAAACTCTTTGAGGACTTGGATTCACATGTAGCCTCTGCTGAGACCTTGGACCAGTCAGGAAGATGTAGGTTCAAATCCAGTCTCTGATATTGTTGTTCCTCCTTCGTTCTCAAAGAGGACCAATAACATTTGGAGAGTGGTGTCTTGACTTGCGAATGAATTGGATTTAAGTGAGGCAGGACTGTGCAGAGTCATCAGCCTCACTCTCCTCCAGAGTCACAGGAGTCCAGCAGCGAGACATAGGTCACGATGACTAGAGATGGCCCCAGATGCAGTGGGAGACCTTCCAGTCTGTGATACTTAGTAGTTGCAAGACCCTAGGGCAATCACTTAACCTTTCTAAGCCCCAGTTTCTTCATCTGTAAAATTAGTAGGGTGGATTTGATGTCTACAATCCCTTTCAACTCTAAATCTGTGATCCTATGACTGTTTGATTTTTGTCCTTGTTTCCCCAGCACCCAGCACAGAGGTTGACTTAGCAGGCCATCTTCATAAATGTGTGTTGAATCATTGTTTGAAGGGGTGATTCAATACAGCCAGATTCACCTCTTCATTGATGCTAGAACAGTTTTGAAGTCCTAGAGACCCAGATAAAATCATGCAATGTTTGGTTTGGCTTTGGATGGGCCTTACATCTCCATTTTTCACCTCTACCCTCATCCCCAGTGTCCTCAGGCTATCATGTAAATTAGGTATCTGATTAATTGACATTAAGGTGTTAATGATTTAATGTGTTACTCATCCTGGGAATATTTATATTTGAAGAGAAAAAGACTGGAAAAAGTAATTAATAACCCAAAAAAATAAGTCTTTAGTGGTGTAGTTTAGCACTATGACCAGGATAGGGGAATCGTTTTTGTGTAGGATGAACCTGACAGGTGTCCCTTTCATAGAATGAGATCATGCTACTAACCTTTAGTATAGAGAATCATTATAGAAAGTATCATTAGTATAGAGAACTCTCATTGAGGAACCTCTCTTTACCAGTGTACCTTCTCTGTCATCTGAGAGTTGCCAACGGACATTGAGAGGGTAAATGATTTACTTAGGGTCTCATGTTTCAGAAGCAGTACTTGAACCCTTGACTCTAAATCTAGCTCTCTGTCTGCTATTCCAGGGCTCCTTACCTTTTTTTGCCATGATCCCTTTGGCAGTCTGGTGAAACCTATGGACCCCCTTCTCAGAATATTTTTAAACTAATAAAATACATAGATTTAAAAGAAAACCAATTATATTGAAATAGAATCATCAAAAAATTTTTAAAGTTCACAAAATACTTTATCAACATTCATTGATTAAGTACCTACCATGTGCAAGGAAAATCCCAAGTTAAGAACCCATGCTCTACATTATGCTGCCCTCATGAACATGGCCCCTAGACACACGCACAAAAGCCTTCTATGTCATGTGCAAGAAAAAACTAGCCTTACCATAAGGAAGGTATAACACTAGAAAGGCAGTCTTCTATAAGCATCTGAGGGAAGACGTTTTAAATTAAAATACTTCTTTCTGAAATACCTGTAATGTTTGCTCATCATTGTTCTAAAAATAAGGCTGAGAAGGCAAGCATAATCTTCTTGATTGGCAAACAATAGAGGAGCAGTAGAAATTGCCTACAAGAACATAAAAAGAATACAGCAAGAGGGGAGGCTTGACCATGTTGGAAGAGCATGGTGGGTGGACGAAGTGACTTCGGAAGTGTGTGGAAAATCCTTATTGTGGATAAGTCAGGTGTGAAAAGTTGAGAGTTGATTTATCTCATTATACATTAGCTGCAGCCATGTATAGGATGCAGAAACTTTCCCCTATGTTTGAAATGTACTGTGCCCCTAAAATTTTACCTGTTCTACAGACTTGCATTTCTGTAATTAGTGAGCCTCTCTCCCACCCAAAGAGATAAACATCAAAGAATTTGTTCCTTCATTAAACTCTTTGTGAGGAAATGTCTTCTAGTATTACTCCTGCTCCAAAATTTCAAACAATCGTATGAAGCCTGGAAGGGTCCCCAAGATTCCAAGTACTGATGTGATACAAGGACATCTTTAGTGAGTTTTATACCCAATAATTTCTTATCATTAAAGGTGTCTGTTGTTAAAATTGAAATAACCCGGTTTTACATTGAGCAAGAATTTAGTTATTGTAGTTTTCACAAAGTGGTCACGATGTGGAGAGTAAGAATACGTTGGTAAGTCAATCAAAACGCATTTATTAAGCACCTACTGGGTGCTGGGCCCTGTCCTAGGCACCGGAGATACAAATACAAAGTGAGATAATTCCTGCCCTTAATGAGTTTACGTTCTGCTCCTCAGGAGGCAAAAGGCACACAAGGATGTGAACTATACCTGTGATTGAACTGGTATAGGAAACTCCCAGTACCAATGCAGGTCACTACCTTCTATGCAATTTATGGTCTTAGAGAGCTGTCAGGGGCTGGGAAGTCAAGTGATTTGCCCAGGATCACACAGCTAGTATGTATCAGAGTCTAGACTAGAACGAAGGCCTTCCTGACTCCAAGGCCAGCGCCCTATTCAGTGAAACATACTGCTTTTCAGAATGTTCACAGAGCATTAAACACAGATTCTATTTTTAAAAGCACACAGTGATTAAGGGTAGAGGGAAGGAGAATTGACATCTAGGCAAATCAGAAAAGGCCCTTCTTGCATATTACTCTTAGCCTCGAAGGCAAGGTGTAGAGAAGCAACTTTGCTTCCATGTTAAGCAATTAGGTTTGACTACTGGACTTAGAAAGAAATAAAGACATCCTATAGTATTTCTCAAGACTTACTTTATTCTCCCATTCTAGTTGACTACTGAGAAACGCACCTACTACCTGACTGCAGATTCTCCCAATATATTAGAGGAATGGATTAAAGTCTTACAGAATGTCCTTCGAGTCCAAGCTGCCAATCCTCTTTTCCTCCAACCTGATGGAAAACCAACAGTCAAGGGGTTGCTTACCAAGGTAGGGTCTTAGGACACTGAATTTCTTAGAAATGATCATCGTGCACAAATGTGTACCATACCTTCCCTCTGTCCTTGTCTCTACTTTATCCTGTATATAGCTTGCTTGTCCATAGTTGTTTGCGTTGTTGTTTGTCCTTCGTTCTTGAAGAGGACCATGACATGCAAGGGAATTGAATTTAAGTGAGGCAGAGCTGTGCAAGATCACTAGCCTCACTTCCTCTTTTAGAGCCATCTGGGTCCGGTGGCTCGATATAGATCAGGACGACTGGAGATGGTCCTGGATGCAGTGGGAGTTTGCATTAGACATGAGACTGTGAGCTCCTTGAGGGCAGCCATTAGTTTTTGCCTGTTCTTGTGTCCCCAGCACATAGCATAATGGCTCGCACATAGTAGGTGCTTAATAATGCTCGTTTACTGACTGACTGCTTAGTTAGTACACCAACACATAGTTTTATCTTTTTTTTTTATTTGTTTTGATCCAGACCTGTGATTTTATTGATGTGGGAAGCTGCTGTTGTAGGAACGTTCTTCACTATCAGCAGCTTCTCTTGATTTATACAGTCTCAGTCTGGCACACTGAGAGGTTCAGTGATTTGCCCATGGCTGCGTAGCTAGGCTATATCAGAGGCAGGATTTGAAACCAGATCTCCCTTCCTTCAAGGGTAACCCTCCGTCCTCTTTGGCTACATGGCCTCTTATCTCTATTGTAGCAATATCATTTTAGGGCTTCCAAAGGACATAATGTTACTTCTTTATTGCAGCATCAAGATATTTCATAAAGATTGGATTTTTTTTTTACTCTTCATAGTTCTACATGGTGCTGTCAAAGGTAGAATGTGACCCTTGAGCTATGTGTTAAATACCCCTACCTTGAATGACTCTTTGTTTCCCTAAATGACACTACTCTTCCAATTTTGGGCTCAGGTTGTTATATTTCTCCTGTCTTCTCTTCCACATTTCAAGCACTGATTGTACGTGCATATTGTTTTGCGTATTTTTAATTGGAGTAATTTGATATGATTATCGGGTGACTAAATTGAGGGGCAGTGCAGTGGATAGAGTGCCAGCCCTGGAGTCAGGAGGACCTGAGTTTGAATGTGGCCTTGCCTTACTAGCTTACTAGTATACTTACTAACTGTGTGAACCTGAGCAAGTCACTTAGCCCAGCTTGCTTTAGTTTCTTCATCTGTAAAATGAGCTAGAGAAGAAAATGGCAAACCACTCCAGTATCTTTGCCAAGAAAACCCCCAAATGGGGTCATAAAGAGTCAGACACGACTAATTGACTAAACAACAAAAATGCTAAGTGATTGAAGACATGAAGCTTAAGTTTTCTTCCTATTTTCTTCCTATTACTTACAAAAAGCCTGTCCATTCCCATATCACTGAAGTCAGTGTTTTTTTGAGTAGAAAACTTTTCCTGCAGTTATTTTGGATTTAGTTACTTGCTCAAAGTTTATCTGTAGACTATTTGAGCTACTGCTATATAATATTCTAATGAATTGGGGAAGAAGGCTTTTTAAGTTGTCAAAATAACAAGTATATAAAATTAGTGTGTATGGGAATTTAAAGGTAGATGTTGCTAGTTAACTAATTTGATTCAAGTTATTATCAGCTACACTGGGTACATTAATGCCTAGAAAAGAAACTCTTTTTTAAAAGAAAAAATCAAATTGTTCTTTTAACTATTGAGCTATGCAAGGTCATGAGTTTTGGGATTATCTCTAATCTTTAGGGAAATTCTTCCAAAATTATACTTGTTTCATTGTTTTAACTTATTCTGAAACTTAAAAAAGTAAGAAATTAGGCTATTGCTTATATAATATTATCTAGTTCCTTTGTATTTTTTTAATAGAAAATGTTTGAATGGACCTCTTTTTTCAGTATCACTATTGCTAACTCTCCCTTCCCAACTCTCTCCCTAACTCCTCATCACCATTAAAAACTGAGAGAAAGAAAAAAGCCCTTGTAACAAATAAATATAGTCAGCAAAATGAATACATACAGTGGATGTGACCAGAAAGGTTTGTCTCTTTCTCTACCTCTGTCAGGATGTGGATAGCATGCTTTATCCTCTGGAGACATGGTTGTCCATTGCATTGATCAGAATTTCAATGGTTTTTAATGTTGTTTTTCTTGACAATATTGTCATCTTTTGTATAAATTGATATCCTGATTTGCAGTTACTTAGAATGTTTTCCTTATTTTCTGTTTCATATTTCTCAATTTATAATTTTGCTAAAGAGTTTATATTACTTCACCTTAATAAAGAGGCAGCATGACTGCCTAACAGATGCAGCTCTGGACGTGGAGACAGGAGGACTTGGGTTCAAATCTGGCCTCCAACACTCACTAGCTTTGTGATTTTGGTCATATCTCTTAACCTCTCTGAGGCCCAGTTTCCTTGCCTGTAAAATGAAGATGATAGCTTTTAGAATCATTGTTCATTTCAAGTCCTTGGAGACTATAGCCAAATAATATGCCAGTATTATCAGAGCACTCCATAAAGTTTATTTCTATACAATAACTTACTAAAATCCACTAAAAGTCATAAGGGTACATCTATAAAAATATGTTTCCAAGCTTGATAAAACGAACACAATACAAATGAAGCATTTCCCCACCCAAGCAGTGCTCCAATCCATCAAACTTTTTTTTTTTTTTTGGTAAGGCAATTGGGGTTAAGTGACTTGCTCAGGATCACACAGCTAGTGTCATATGTCTGAGGTCAGACTTCAACTCAGGTCCCCCTGACTCCAAGGCCGGAGCTTTATCCACTGTGCCACCTAGCTGCCCCTCAATCCATCAAACTTCTAAGTAGATGGACTATTTGTTTGTATAACTAAGGGTTTAAATGAGGAAAGGGTAACCATATTTGTGAGCTTAATTGTCCATTTTGCTTTCTTTTATTAATATCACTGTAGTGTGGCAATTCCATTACCTTTCAACAAATTACTCAGTAAAGATTCTATCCAAGGATTTTTATGAAAACATCAGAGAAGAAATATGCTCAATTATTAATATAGAATTTGGTAAAGTATTTCTCCCCAAAGCATGCATATATAATAAAATAATAGTAGTCGGATAATACGTGCACATATTATTTAGAGTATTCTCTTCCTTATGTTCACAAAAAGCCTTTTTACTATTCTACTAAAAATTGATATAGATATTTTTAAAGATTTGTGCTACAGGTATTTTTAAAGCAATGTTTGGAATTAATATTAAGTGTTTTGGAATGTGAATTACAAAGCACATGTACCCTGGTCAAACAAACAGGGTAATCTTGGATTCCATACATATATATATATATAAAATTAGAATAGGGAAGATATACTTTGAGGTATCAGATTTCTGAGATTAATTTTTAATTCTTCATAATATAATTACAGGTGAAACATGGCTACTCTAAGAGAGTTTGGTGTACACTCATAGGAAAAACATTGTATTATTTTCGTAGTCAAGAAGATAAGGTATGTATGTGTTCTTAACCAATAGGCTACTTAGAGGCATTTAAAAATTATAACTGAAATTTTTTTCACTGTTGTTAATAGTTTTATTAATAGTTTTAACTTATTAACTTTGAATTAGATTAAAGTTTTGTTTAAAACATAATATGTATTTTCAAGTGGCAAACAGAGATCTTGATTCTTTTTACCCTAAGAATGTCTAATAATTCATCTTAGCCCAGAAGAAAGAGGCTTCATGCACCACCTATCACTTTTCTATGGTCTCCCCAGGATCCAGAAATATCTAAATCATGTTAAAAATCTTCTGGGAAATATAGTATTAATAATAAGTAACATTTATATAGTGCTTACTATGTACCAGGCACTATGCTAAGCACTTTAAGCACTCATCTGATCAGCCCTGGGAGGTAGGTGCTATTATTATCCCCATTTTACAGATGAGGGTAGACAGAGTTTTATGGAGGGTCAAGGCTGGGGTTCTGATATGGTCTGATAGGATGGAGTCCAAAGGGTCTAATATGTTCGATTGAAAGGTATTAAAGGTATAAGAAATGGAAGATTACATGTTGGGAAAAGTTCCAGAGTCCTTGCATGTCAATATTATAGTAACTAGATGTAAGACCTCCAAGATGATACATGTACCCAGTTACCATTTATGGGCACTTTATGTCACCTCTATCATCCAAAGATGTACCCAAGTCATCCAAAGATGATTTGGACCTAGTGGCCTTTTAAAAATTTGTGATGTAGTATTCATAGAGAATACCCAGTCTGTGGCTGAATAGTCCCTTGTGAACTAATTAACCTTACACTGTTCTATGGCTCTAGAGTGGACATTATTATTATTCATTTTTTGTTTTCAGAACTGGTACAAGGGCCTACCACTGCCCTCATTAATGAACCTCCTCCATTTTCTTTCAAGAGCAGACAGTTACATGTTGACTAGCAAACTTGGAAAAAATATGTAAAACATGTTCTCAGGAAGTCAGAGGATTCTGTGTATGTATATACATATGTGTATATGTAGTGTGATGCACATGTGTGTGCATGTATGTAATCGTGCATTTATATGCATATGTGTACATATACATATACGTGCATATACATATCTCTGTATATGTACATATATGGAATGACTCCCATCTCTGCAAACCCAGCCCCGCGTTCTTTCTTGAGCACCAGTCCCCCATCATCAGCTTCCTATTGGACATTTCAAATTGGATGTCCAGAGATGGTTTAAACTCAACATATCCAAAACAGACCCTGTTATCTTTCCCCAAAACCCACTTCTCTAATGAACTTAGCATTTTCGTCAAGGGTATCACATCCTCCCAGTTTTCCAGGATCATAACTTAAGCATCATCATCATCTGCTCATATCTCCATCACCACAGATCCAATCTATATCTTATTTCTATTTCCAGAGTCTCATGAGTCAGATTGTGTTTTTATTTTTTTTAATTTTATAAATGCTTTTTTCTATGTCATTACCCTCTTCCCCTCTCAATGTGCCCTCATTAATAATGAAGAAAAACGGTTAAACAAAACCAACTAACACAGTGACCATAGTTGACAACATATGTCACATTCTATGATCAGAGCCACCACCCCTTCTCTGCTAAGAAGAGGTATTCATGGCTCATTGTCTGTACCCCAAGACCAAGACTTGCCATTAAAATTAATAATTATTTGTCTACCTTTTAGTGCTGATTTTGTTTCTATTATTTATAGTCATTGTTCTGTGGTTCTGATCATTTTGCTCAGCATCAGTTCATGCAAACCTTCTCCTATTTCTCCAAATTCCCTAAATGCATTGTTTCTTAGTATACAATTCATGTATTTATTCATGTATTAGTGTACAATTCATGTACATGTATTAATGTACAATTCATGAATTAGTGTACAATTCACGGATATATCACAATTTGCTCAGCATTTTCCAGTCAATAGGCAATACATGTTCCCAGTATTTGCTACCACAAAGAATATTTCTATGGATATTTTGGCATATATCAGGCCTTTCTTTCTCAGACAATTCATTTAAAAAATTCCCAGTATTACAGTTATAATTCTTACTACCTAGATAAAAATGAAATAGCAGCTAGGTGGCACAATGGGTAGAGTGCTGGGCCTAGAGTCAGGAAGACTGAGTTCAGATCTAGCTTCAGTTACTAACTAGCTGTTTTACCCTGGGCAAGTTGCTTCCCCCATCTGCCTCAGTTTCCTTAACTATAAATGGGGATCATAATAGCACCTACCTCCCAGGTGGTTGTGAAGATCAGATGAGACAACATTTGTAAAGCATTTGGCACAGTGCCTGGCACATAATAGGTGCTTAATAAATGCTGTTCCCCTCCCCCTCTTATCTTTCCCTTCTCCCTTAAGGAGCTCAAGAAATCTTCTACTTTCTTAAGGTCAATGAACCAAGTAGACAGTGTTTGGTCTGAAAAATTCAAGCAGGAAAATAATTTAGAAAGTAGCTTTCTCACCATTACTGATATTTGCTTCAGTTTCCTTTAGGCCAGATCAAACTTTGGGAGGCTAAAGTTGATGAAGTTGACAGATCTTGTGATTCTGATGAAGATTATGAGGCCAGCGGTCGCAGTCTGTTATCTACACATTATACCATCGTTATCCATCCCAAAGAGCAAGGACCAACCTACCTTCTAATTGGATCCAAGCATGAAAAGGTGACAAGAAAAATTTTTTTTTATTAAATTGATTTAGACAGAGGCTTATTCACTATTATTAACAATTTTTCAAAGCATTCCCAGGGAAATAAGAAAAGGAACATTTGTTATCAGTTATTTTCAGTTCATTTTTTTATGAATTTTTCCTCCCATTTAGATGTAGGCCCATGGCTTTTATTTGATATGTCATTTTCAGTCCTGTTGCTGAATGTTCCCAGAAGCTGAATTTAGAAGAAAAAGATGGTCAAGAGCCCTCACATTGAAACTATTCAGTGGTTATGGGATGTCACTTCTCTCACAGGGAAAGATTTCTAGAGGGAAAACTAAAGGTTTTTGTCATATCCCTGCTATGTTCAGTGACCTAGTAAAAGTTTTTGTCTAATATAATTGAAAATGAACTGTTATCATTTATTTTAGTCTCTTAGAGACAGCTTCCACCCACCATCTTGATGCACTCCATAATTTGGTCATGTCCTGCTGAGAAATGTCTGTAGAAGATAAAGAAGGTGATGCCAGTCAGGATTTAGGCACATGGGCACAATTCAGAATCAGCCTAACTGAAAAGACTCCATGATTTTGAAAATGCAATCCAGCCCAAAGTCTTTGTTTGTTCATGTTAAATTAGATTTTTCTCAAATAATTGAAAATAATTCTTGGTTTGTTGATTATTCTTGTAATCTGTTTTTAAGGACACTTGGCTTTATCATCTAACTGTTGCAGCCGGAAGCACCAATGTAAATGTCGGGTCTGAATTTGAACAGCTGGTTTGCAAACTGCTTAATATAGAAGGGGAACCCAGTAAGTGTTTCTTCATTTCCTAAACAGGGTTTACCAATTACTGGAAGTAGAAATGTATTCCTAGAGAGTTATAGTCAACTTTTCACAATCTCTTTCTGTACCAGAGTTCTAATTACAGCACTAAGAAATTCAGCAAATATGTATATGGTTACATGGAAATGGAAATTTGTTAAATATCTCCTCAGTGCTTACTATATCCAAAACATGGTGCAGTGTGCTATTGGTGGTAGAAAGATAAATAAGGAGGAGGTATTGTTTCATTTTTCGTGTTTGTATCCCTAGTACCTTGTACAATGTGTGTTACATCATAGCTATTTAATAAATTCTTGTTGATTGATAAAAAAAGATAAATAAGGCCTGGTCCCTCCCCTTAAGAAGGTTATAGTCTAGGAGTAGATATAAAACATGTACTTAAATAACTGTAGTACAAACAGTAATTGTGTGCTAATTATGTAGGAGAGGTACAAAATATTGCAAGATTTACAAGGAAAGAGTGATTATTTATGGGAGGAAAAGGAGGATCACAGAAGGCATTTGAGCTATAGCTTGAAGGACAGAAGTACGATTTCACCTGGTGGAGATAAATATATGGTAGAGCAGACGACCTTCCAGGTATAGGGGATGGAATCCACAAATGCACAGAGGTAGTTTTCCAAATGTTTATCTGATATTGACTATATTAATTTAATATTTAATATAACATGGGCAACTAGGTGGTGCTGGGCCTGGAGTCAGGAAGACTCATCTTCCTGAGTTCAAATCTGGCCTCAGATACTTATTAGTTGTGTGACTCTAGGCAAGTCACTTAACCTTGTCTGCCTCACTTTCCTCATCTGTCAAATGAGCTGGAGAAGGAAATGGCAAACCACTCCAGTACCTTTACCAAGAAAACTCTGAATGGGGTCATAAGAAGTCAGACACAGCTGAAATGACTGAACAACAACCCTGTTCTAGGCAGTGGGTTACTGAGACCAAGTGATAAAGTCTCTGCCTTCAAAAAATTTACATGTCCCTGAAATCTGATTAGTCTTATGCCATCTACTTAGATCCCAGTTACCCCTGCTCTACCAAAAAAAAAAAAGTCATTCTTTTCTTACCTCAAATTTTTCTTGATCTGTTCCATTTGATAGTGAATGCAGGGCTTGAGTGAGCCAAACCTCTTTGAAGGGTTGATTTAGTCAAAGGTAAAATCTGTGAGTTCCTCTTTTAATTAAGTACTTTGTTCTATGGTCAGCTTCTCAGATATGGAGACATCCTGCTCTGTGTCATAGCAAAGAAGGAATCAGTTCACCTCTGACAACACTGCCTTCTGAAGCTCTGCAGACTGAAGCTATTAAATTATTTAAGGTAAAATCCTGCCCCCCACCCAGGGGATGAGGGTGGTGGGAGGTAAGGACAGTAAGCATTGTTGAAACAAAAAAAACATCTAAATCAGAAAAGAAATAGCATACCAGATATATATTATTATCAATGAGAGCCTTGAAGTTACTTATATATAGAAGCTCTGTCCTTTTCTGGGAGATAGATAGATAGATAGATAGATAGATAGATAGATAGATAGATAGA